CCCCCCCTCCTCCCCTGGCCATGCCTGGTGCGTTTTGCGCGCTTTGCACGCCCGCGCACGGCGAGCCCTTGGCACCGCTAGCCACGATCTTCTCCTGTACCTGCACTTAGGAGTATAGCCTGCTTCCCGTGCTCCTCCCGGGCTCGTATGTCTGGGCGTTCTCACGGAGCCCGGGCCCCAGTCGCGTAGCATTTCCGCCTTGGTGATATGGGAGTGAGAGCGAGAGAGAAACAGCTGGCCGCCCGCCCTCCCGAGTCAGTTATTTGGTCGTCGTTGCTCGCTTCCCCCCCTTGACACCCCTCCTCCCCGCTCTTTCGTCTTCGTGGACTGCGTGCCCGTTCCCTGAGGTTATTTATACCGGCGGTCCTCCCCCCGCCATCCCGTTCGTGCACTCAAGTTTTTTGGTCTTGATCCGTGCCCAAGGTTTTTTTGTTTCCCGTCACCTCCCACCTTATACCACCTGCACCCACACTTCCCCCGCTACAGCGAGCGTGATAGGCTGTCCAGCGGCCCTCTGCTAGCTTCCCTCGGCATCTTCCAGAGCCAAGACCCCTGCGTCATCCTCGCTGTCGAAAGAAAAATAGGGCCGACGACAGCAATAACTTGAGCACCAAGAAAACACCGAAAAAAAAAAATAACAATCCCTCTTTCCCACGCAGAAACCGTGCTGCAACATCGCATCCGCCGCCATGAACACCAGCGCCGTCGAGAGCAAGTTCCTCGCCAAGCCGGACGAGCTCGGCATCGTCGCCGTGGGCTTCTCTGGAGGACAGGTGAGCAAGCAAACCCCGAGCCGACGCCGGTGGCTGTTGGGGCTGTTGGGGGGTCGTGCTGCCGTGCGTCGCGCAGATCGCCGCCGCGACAACCCCTGCAGTCGCTCGCGCTCGCTGCCCCTCCATCTGACGGGTGCCCCTCCATGCGCGCGCGCCGCCGCCGCGACAGCTTCAATCTGGCGGCGGCGGCCACCACCCCACAAGCACTCGCGCAGTCAATCAATGCTGACGACGGAAACCCCCTCCGCAGCCCAAGGCCGGTGTCGACGCCGGTCCCGCCGCCCTCATCGAGTCGGGCCTCCTCAGCGAGATCAGCAATGAGCTCGGCTACAAGATCCACGGCGACACGCAGGTCAACGTCTACAAGGACCTCGCGCCCGAGCAGGACCCCGACTACCGCGGCATGAAGAACCCGCGCAACGTCTCGGCCGTCAACAGGAAGCTGCAGTCGCAGGTCTACGAGCACGCCAAGGAGGGCCGCCTGGTGCTGACGCTGGGCGGCGACCACAGCGTCGCCATCGGCACCATCACGGGCTCGGCCAAGGCCATCCGCGAGCGCCTCAACCGCGAGATCGCCGTCATCTGGGTCGACGCCCACGCCGACATCAACCGGCCCGAGGACAGCGACAGCGGCAACATCCACGGCATGCCGCTGGCCTTTGCCACGGGGCTGGCCCGCGACGACAAGGACGAGTACTTTGGCTGGATCACCGACGACATGCGCCTGAGCGTCAAGAAGCTCGTCTACATTGGCCTGCGCGACGTCGACGCCGCCGAGAAGCGCATCCTGCGGGAGCATGGCATCAAGGCCTTTTCCATGTTTGACGTCGACCGGTGAGCAAAGCACCCGCCCGTTCGCTTTTACTACGTTGCGCCAGTTGAGGAGACGTTCCGCGGCTAACGATTGCGCGACGCAGCCACGGCATCGGCCGCGTCATGGAAATGGCCCTCGCCCACATCGGCAGCGACACCCCCGTCCACCTGTCGTTTGACGTCGACGCCCTCGACCCCATGTGGGCGCCCAGCACCGGCACGCCCGTCCGCGGCGGCCTGACCCTGCGCGAGGGCGACTACATTTGCGAGTGCGTCCACCAGACGGGCCAGCTGGTCGCCATCGACCTGGTCGAGGTGAACCCGGCGCTCGCGGCCACCGAGGCCGGCGCCCAGGAGACGGTCCGCGCGGGCTGCTCGCTCGTGCGGTGCGCCCTCGGCGACACGCTGCTGTAGAGACGTGTAGGTGCGCGCGGTGACGGATGACGGATTGACGCTGCGGATACCAAGGGCTCGGGCTGGGCCTGGCGCCGACGGGACGGCGTGTTTAAATGGGGTTTCACGGTCAGCCGGGAATGGGAATGGGTTCGTTGCATGGCAATGCAGGTTCAGATACTCCTAGAAGTTGTCTTTGAATTCGGAGACTCGAGGCTCCTTGACATGGAAAATTGCAACATGCGGTGAAGAGTTTTGTCGTGACCAAGACAAAGTCCGCGACCGGGGGTTTTTGTGTTTCGGCTGCGTCGTGCATCACGGACCGGGGGGGGGCCTTGACCGAACGGCCCCGCCGCTCGACGCCCAACCGGCCCTGCCACGGCCTTCACCGCAACGACTGGAAAGCGGTGGGACAGACGGACCCCCTGCCGGATCGCCGCCTCATCGCATCGGCGACAGTGCCGGGGGGCCAACCGGCTTCAGCTCCGTTTCCGCATCCACGTTGCCGGCGTCCGGCCCGCGGCGCAGGAGCTTCCGACAGCAACCCAGTCATGTTTCACGGTCTTTGCTCGGATTCTGCAAAGGAGTGCGTACTGCTGGACGTGCAAAGTAGGTCGCCATGGAGGGGAGAAGGCAGACGGTAAAGTCCAGGACTCGATCGAATGTCTCGGCGACGACCCGGGGCGAGCGCCCGACGTGCATGGCGGAGCTTCGCACCCCAGCTGCCCGAGTTGTTCGCTGCGTCGTGCCAGCGGCGGTCCCTTCCGGCTCCGGGTGGGCCCCCTGATGCGCCGCAGCACGGCCCAGCAGCCCAGCCTCCGCGGCATGTTGGTCGTGGTGGTGACTGGCCAGCTCCCGCCGGGCGGCGGCGGCTAGCACTGCGAACCCACCCGCCGTGCGCTGGGCCACTGGCGGGCGACGGATGGGAGCCCGCCCGTGCAGGTGGCTGGAAGCTCCATCCAGCTCCAGCGGCAACGCCCGCGGTTGCGTGTCCCGGCACCCGGGCACCTAGCAACCGCGCGACAACACCACCCACCCAACAACAACATCCACCAGCACACCTGAACCTTGGGTTGCGCCGTGCGCTCGCAGTCGAAATCGCGACACCTCCACGCCTTTGACAGCAGAAACACGCAGGCCCCCGCCACCGCCCACCCCAATCTCACCCCATCCCCCTCCGGCCGCTTCTCCCACGAGGAGCCCTGGCGGCGACAAGCAAGCCAGCAAAGCAGGCAAGCACCTGACGACGACGCGCCCGTGACGGCGGCCCAACCCGCAGCCGAGCCGTCTGTTTGACTCTGACGCACCCCCCCAAGGCCACGCAGCCAACAACAACGCAGGCGGTCGAGTCGCAGCCCGCACGGCGGAGCCAGACAGTACCAGGTACAGACGGAGGGCGACGACGGGGGGCGTCGACGACAATGACCAGCGCGGCCCAGCGACGCCAGACGAGCCCTCGCTGCCGGACGATATCCCCTTGACGTTGGCAACGCCGATCCAAGTCGTCGTCGCGCCTTTTGGGTACTGGAGGTAAGTACTGTACGGTGCCTGGCCTCGCCTCGTGCTTGTGCCGGTGGGTGGTTCCACCGCACCGCCGTGGAGCAGACAGCGCACCACCAGTGGGGCCTTGGGCTTGAGACTCGACGGGGGCCCGAACTTGGGCGCGCATTTGCGACCCAGCAGCGCCGACAGTGCAGCGACAGTGCAGCGCAGCACAGCGCATTGGTCCGCCCGCCAATCCCGCCGCCGCCAGCCAGCGCCAGCCCAGCCCGCCCTCCGCCCGACCTGAGGTGGCCGCACCGCAGGCACAGCAACCCGTGCATTGGGCACTTGAGTTCGCAGGGCTCCAAGTGTCGGGTGTTTGGCCCTGCCTATCTACAACCGAGCGACTGTCTGTCGACTACTATTCGGAGGTCCCCATTGACCCCCCCTGCCTCTGCGGCGCGGGCCAATCGCGCGGGCTGCCCTCGAGTGGTCTGCTTTATAACATCGACCCCGTCGCCCGCGTTTGCTTGGGGCCATTGTCGCCGCGACACACAGCAACCACGAGGAGGCGGGCGTTGTTGACGCGACACGGCGAGGACACGCGCAATACAGGAGCTGTCCGGTTCGAGCGTCTGGAACCATTGGGCAGCATCTCGACGCAGACGACGGAGCATCGCGGACGACTCGATTGGGCCTACGCGACACGATTCGTCACGATTGACGACGACTGATTCGCAAAAACAAACGAGCCGCTGCGATATAGAACACATCAAACAGTACGGCGTGCGGACGCCCGAATCGAAACCAACGAGACAGACGGACAGAGCAGAGACGGCGGCAGCATGGCCGTCTCGTCGTACCTGAGCGGCAGCTCCGTCGGCTACAACCGACGGGTCGTCAGCCACATCCGCACGTACAACTGGCCGCCGTGGCAGCTCAACTTTTGGATCTTTGTCATGCTGCTGGCGTCGGCGAGCATCGTCGGCGTCTTTTCCACGTTTATACAAATGCAGGTGCAGCTGGAGCTGCCGGTGCCGTGGTAGGACTCCCTCCCCCGTCCGCCTACACGGCGAGAGCCTGTCTGCAGACGGCTGCCCGGGGACTGGCATGGCTTGCTGACCGGGCCCTCGCACAGGTACTTTCCCTACTACATCACGGTCGGCGGGCTCGCGATCCTGTTCATCGCGGGGATATTCTGGCTCATCGCCAACCGGCGCCTGCTGCCGGCCATTGTCATGATCGGGGCGTTTATGCTCTTCGTCATGTGGCTCGTCGGGCTGGTGGTGGTGTCGATGCAGCTGTGGGGGCCCAACGGCTCGGTGCAGAGCAACTGCAACCTGCAGGTGTTCAACCAGGACCCGCGGGGCCTGAGCATCGAGACGCTGGCGTGGATGCAGCAGAGGAACATATGTAAGTCGAGGATGCGCCGCGTACCTCTCTGGCGCCCCTTGCCTGGCTGTTGCTGACGTTTGGAGCTCGACAGGCCAGTCGTGGCATTTGGTGTTTGCCATGGCGCTGACGGGCTCGATATTCCTCGTCTGGGTCATGATCATGGCGTACCAGGTCTTTGTCGACTCTTGACGCGCGTCGCAGGTTTGGATGTCTGCCCGGGGCGGCCACAATTCGCAAGCGGCTTGCCTGCGGCACGGCGTTCGGATGGGCTCTGGCGCGTCCCTTGCGGGACAGCGATGCCTGCATTGTCGGCAAACGCCATGCCGCCATCATCCCTGTATAATTCTCCCATTTACTTTCATCGTCTTGGATAGAGCCTCGAGGGGCACGCCATGGGCGCTCGAGGCCGTCCGAGAGGCGAACGAGGTCATGTCTGGTGCAAAAATGCGGCGTTTGGGTTGGTCGGAACCTGGTCCAACAGGACAGAGCGAGCGCTTCGACTGTATTGTATGCGAGGAGCGTGTTGGCATTGAGAATTGAGCCCATCGAACTGATGATTCTTATGACAAGAACCTGGCTGCTGCCGTTGAGAGAGACTGGCCGGACCGCCGCCGTGACTGCTTCTTTTGGCGGCCGATGCATGACCCGGCGCAACACGCAGGCGGCCTCAACGGGTAGACGCGCTTGGACGCTGTGCCGTCGTGAAGATTCGTGCCTAGCCTATCGCCCCTCGGAGATGCCCCTCGTGCCGGGCCCGGCAGCTTGGAGCTCGGACGAGGGGCGGCCAGGCTAATACCGAGCGGGTTCGTCACGGTGTTAGTACTATTAGCCTTGGCAGTTGGCGAGATGGCGCCCAACCAGGCACGCGGGCGGTTGGCGGGCTGCGCGTCCCTTTCAGCTGGGCAGGCCAGTTTGAGTTTGCGCCGCCCCCCCATGTCTAGCTGCGTGCGGGCAGCGCGGCGACGGTCCCTGACGAAGCCAAGCCAACAAGCCCCGCCTCGCCGACGATGAGGGGCAGTTGTGCTCAGGCTTCGATCGAGCGCGCGCGCTGTGTTGCTGATGCCACTGAGCGTCGCGCACTGCGAGGCCGTTCGATGGCCCCCTCCGCGATGAGGGATGGCGTCAGAGCTTCGGCCGCCGGCAAGGCTAGGCAGGTAATTAACGCGGCGGAACAAGAAGCTGGCGGACGCGCATCGCCAAGTGCCTGGACGCTGGGCTGCTCTCTCGCGCGCGACGCCCCGTCTGGTGTCGATCGGTGATGCAAGATGGCTCCCTGTGAGCTCATACAACTGGGTCCTGGGCGGGAGAGTCCCCCCTCCGCGGCCGGGAATATCGGCAGTCTCGCGGCGCCATTCCATTGCTGGGGATGCGCGGCCGGCCGATAAGCTTCTTGGCTTGGGTGCCTCGCAAAGGCAATGGGCCCCCGGGCGGCAGCCTGTGGAGATGGCGAGATCCCATCGACGCGGACGAGGGCGCGGCGGGCAACTTGCTCAGCGAGGCAGGGAATGGCGGCCATGCATGACGTAGCGCGGCTGGCCTCAGCTTCCAGTCCTGGGGCCGGCCACAACGAGCGGCGGGTTGCAGCAGCTCGTCAGGCCCGGTGAGGTGGGTGGTGGTGGGACGGCCTCGCCGATTCGGGCGCTGGCCGGGTGGGGGAGGGGCAGCTCCAACAAGCTCGCCTGCTGGGAACGGGCTTGGAGCTTCCACTGCTGCCAGAGGGGCCAGCTTCGCAAGGTTGGGGTTGGGTGGAGGAGGGGAGGAGGCAGCCTGGTGTTGGCTAGCGCGTGCATGATGCCATGGGCAAACGGACGATGGGGGCTTGGGGGGATGGAAGTGTGTGCCGCCCACTGCCCATCCCATTGCAGGAGGCTCGAGGAGCAGACGAGGGGGGACGCTCTGGTGGCGCGCGGGAAGCGCCAGACGAGTATATAAGCTGGACGGCTTGCCTTCTGCCCCGTGCCCCCTGATCTGCTCGCCTTTCCGAACGATCGACCCAGCCGCATTCATCACTCACAGCCCAGCTCATCCACTCTATATTCCCCCCACCCACCGTCGCCATGGATTTCGTCAAGAAGGCCGCCGAGGGCATCAAGGGCTCCTCCTCGGGCCAGAACAAGGACCAGCAGGCTGCCCAGGGCGGCGAGGGCCAAAAGGAGGACTACGTCGACAAGGGTGAGTGACGTTTGACCCATTGACGCCGAGCAACACCGAGACGCCCGGTTGCGCCATGCGCGTCGAAACGGGGACTCTGGCCAGCGGCGGCAGAGGGGCTGATACACGCGTCTGCTAGCCTTTGCCTTTGCGTCGTCCAAGTCCGGCCACAACATCAGCCGCGAGCAGCAGGAGAAGATTACCGACGGCGGCCGCAGCGCCTACGAAAAGGCCACCGGGTGAGTTTTGCCCTCTGGTGGAAGCCCGCTGCGCGATTGTTGGATGACTTTGGGCGCACTGGCAGCGGCGGAGGCGGCTAACAGCGGCGCAGGAGCAAGGTCGACCCCAAGATCTCCAACTAGAGCGCAAGTCACGTCGTGAGGCGGGAGGATGAATGCAGGGTCCGGGAACAGAGCCGGGAGGGCGCCTGCCCGGGTGATGGTTACTACTAGATACCACGTCAATTCCGTCTTGTCTACTTCGTTCAATGCGCACTGCCAGTCAGCCTGGCGAGTCCACATCGTGGGCGTTGGACGACATGCCGTTCATGCTGTGAGGGCAGAGTAGCAAATCAAAACCTTGAGCCTGTTCTATCTGAATGTACAACGAAACATCTACCAGCCTGCACGCATTGCCCATCCGACGTGTACACGGCGCAACTTGGACTTGGCACGCGAGCGCAGCACAGCGCGCTCAGTGCGTCACTCCAACCACGAACCCCGACCGCCAAACCACTGGCAACCCACCAAGCCTCCTTTCTCCCTTTCCCAATCAGCGTCGGCGGTGCTGGGGCTAGACGCGGGCGTCACCCTCGCGACCTCCCAAGTGCACGCATCCGCCGCCTCCACGTTGCCCAGAGACCCAGCATCGTCCTCGACAGAAACAGCCCCAGCCCCGTCGTCGAAAAAACAAAGTAGGCGAGCATTATGGACCGCCACTGTTCCTCGTCGAGCATGTCGTCCACGGTGCGTCCGTCCCGTCCGAGTTGCGCGTTTCCGTTCAAGAATGCCGCGAGCAGTATAGGAGCGGCCAGGGCCACGGCGAGGACGACGACAGCCGCCACCCACGAGATGATGACGGTCGCTGCGAAGTGGTCTCTCAAGCAAGCCTCGTACGCGCTCTCGCCGACTCGGATCTCGTCTGGGGCGGGTATCGGCGATGTCGACCTGGAGTCGATGCGACATGGAGCGGGTCGTGGCAAGGGGGCCCCCCGGGGATGTTCGGGGCCGGGGCGGCCGGCGTCCGGCCAGCTGCGCAACTCGACTGATGAATCGTTCGGCACGTTCCTCGTCCTCCATGCTCCTGTTCGTGCACTTAGCGGGATGAGGCCATTCGGAGGATGACGGTACGTGTTACCTATGGCACTGTTCAGGATGACGAGCAGCGGGTCGAGTAGAAAGACCAACGCGCTGATCTGGCCAAGACTCATGGCTTTACTGATTGCCGGCTCGCGGTGGTCGTTCGGCTCGACCCCAGGGATGAACGGGTAGAGGACCAGCTGAGTAGCCCATAGGAGCATGCTGAATACAGCCACCATGATCCTGGCGAAGAACGATGAGCATGCCTCCTCGACCACGGCGCTCAAGAGGAACGCATATTGCGCCACGAACGAGGGCGGCCAAAGCCTCTGCTTCCAGCTGGGAGGTTCTCGAGCCTCCGCGACTCCGCCTCTGGCCCGCGCCACTGCGCCATCGGCAACCGGTGTCGGGTTCGCGCTGTGATCCAGGGGCCAGCCGGAACGAGAGTCGGCCGCCGTCGTCACAGTCCCGTGCCCGGGCATATAGAGCTCCGACACAACCTTGAGGTAAACGCCAGTCGCGTGGGTGATGACAGTCGCTCGAGCCCAGCACTTGCCCTGTTGTTGCTGGGTATCTCCAAGCTCTTCAACGTCGCCTTCCAAGCCGCCGTCCAGTGCTTCGCGTATTCCCACGTGTAGCCCGCCCGCGACTTCCAAGAGCCTTGATTGCGTCGCCAGATATTGGTACGTTGTAAAGACGACCACTGCTAGGGTGACGCTCACTTGCACGTGTCTCATGGGGTTCCGTTTCAGACCACTCTTACCAAGGAACCCGGCGGTAAGCAGGAAGGCGACTGCAGAGAGTAGAATGCTACAAGTGGCCATGTGATATGCGAATAATGTAGGGCCATGGTCAGGGTCTACGTGGTAACGAACCACGCAAGCCCAAACGACCTGTGCCATGAAGCTGCAAAAGTGCTGAGGAATCAGCATTTCGAGGACATGTTCATACGCCCGCCGACGCTTTGAACGAGACAGGGCGGTCCAATGCCATCTTGGGCGGAGCCGAACGACGTTATCAAAGGCGTTAGTCTTGGCATTGGAAAGGGACCAGCTCAAGTAGGCGTAGACGGTGGTGCCAAAATTTAACAAGACGTAGGCGCCCGTCGCTGCCAAAACCTGTCCCGTACACGTTCAAGTCCTTAGCCTCTGCATCACATCATGTGTCAAAGCCAGAAGCGAGAGCGGTACTTACACCAATTCCTGTTATGTCAGGGTCACCGAGGGGCTCTTTTTTAGGTTCACAATCGGCCATTCCGGCTTCGCGCAAATATCACTGCATGTGACTGAGCAGTGCCCTTCGGGAGAGAGGATCCTCAGCGGGTGGCAGTTGACACCCTGCATGTACACAGACACAAGGGAACCGACGTCTCGCTCTCAACTGGGTCACAGAACGTGGAGCTCCTCGGCGTCAGTCGGATTTCTGCTTGCGGGCCAGAGAAACCCCGGGCGAACTTGATTGTGGTCAAGGCAATGGTAAGGTCGATAACGCGGTTGTGTTCAAGGTTGCAGCTTTCACTTGGATGAAGCAGAGCATTCAGCATCAACAAGGTTCGATATATATATGTGAGCATCAAGCACCCTTCAGACGGTCCTTGGGAGATGTGCCGCCGGCTGCGGGCACCATCATTCGGACAGCAGGATTCAAAACCCGTCCGCCATTGAGCGAATATCCTTGTCATGGCCCATCCCGGAGAACTCGATGCCTCTTCGCCGCGCTGCTTCGAGTTTGTTTCCTGCTCCTTTGGCGCGTTGCTGCGCCCCCTGAGGCAATCAGCCGGGGGCAAACGCTGATGGCAGGGCGTCGTTTTGAAGCGTTTCGCCGGCAGAGGCAGACATGGTGTCAATGACTGTGGCCTTGAGAACTTCAAGTGTCATCCCAGTAGCCGTACCCCAACGGCGACTTGAACAGTCGGTCATCTCCGCATGTTCAATACGAGCTGAGCGTTCCCGCGGCCGCCCGTTTCATGGCGTCTAGTGAGCAAACTTGGTTGATGTGCATAGCACCAGACAGCCGCTCTTCGAGCGCAGTGGCGCGGCTGACTTGGGCAAGTAGCGACACGTGGTCTGTGTCGTTTGTCGACGATATCCCGGTCCACTTTCGTGAGTCGCGAAAAACATGAAGGCGCTGGGCCTCATGTTTGCTGGCAAACCGCCACACACTCCTCGCGAGGGTTGTCCCACTTTCGAAACAGACTGGAATCCGCCGCGGGCAAACAAGCTCCCTCGTACAAGGCTCTCGCTCCGCCAGCCAATTTCTTTCGTGGCCTGGCCGCCGCACGTCGCTGCCTAGACATGGGGCCACGTCAAGCGGATGTGGTCTTGCATGGGGGATCTGGGGACATGACCTATTACCTTGGCATCGTTTGGCATCGCCCGAGTCCGTCTGCAACCCTGTTGGCATTGATTGGCAAGGGAGGAGGTTGGCCTTGTTCAATGTTCTCCGGCTGCTGTCAGCCGAGGATGTAGCGCGATGTGTAGTTGCCGTGTCCTTTCTCCCGGGCGACGCGCGGCGACCCTGGGCCTTGGAATTGCTGAATCGGCTCCTGGAGCTTCTGTGGCTGCCATGTTGACAGCAAAGTGTTTCAAGGCACAGCTAAAACTAGAGCAGATGGCTCATGCAGCCCCTATTGTTTTGCGAGACAGACATGGGCACAGAGGGACACTTGGCTTGTTTACTCCGTGCACATGTATATGTGATGGAGCAAAAGCCTCAACGCCTTGGTTCACGCGTGCAAAAGCTGCAGACCAGCGAGCAAGACATGGCGCTCTATGCTTCATGTATTGCTGGATGCGCCGTACACGTGGGTGATGCGTGCAGACCAGGGCCGAATCCGATGCTCGAGAGCCCAGCGAGTGGTCGGGCACGATGCGTGAAACCCGTGGATGTATTCAAGTATGTAGCTATGTGAGAACGCAACACTCGGTGCAAGAGGGGACCAAGCCGCTCCAGGTGAGATGCCGCCATGAGACCTAGATAGGGCACGCGAATGTCCATGAACCGAATGAGTGGGTCTCCAATGACTGAACGCTTGACGACCGTCGGCATACATCGTTCCCTACTTGTAGTTGGCTGGCGGCAGAAGGTCGTGGAACAGTTTCTTCCTCGGATTGCAGAGGGCCTTTGACTCAGGGCTTTTGGTGTAAGCGTGCCATTTGACGCTCCAGTTGTCTTTATGGAAAATCTGGCCAGCCTTGTACTTAGTACACGGTCCATCCTTGTCCCGCATAAGTCGCTGGAGGCCGTCCCTAATAGGCCTCCAGTTCCCGAGTCGCAATGGCGTTTTACCCTTCGTACTTGTTAGTATCGGCTGCTGGCAAAAAGGAAGGGCTGAACGGAAGATGAACCCACATCGTTGCATACCCATAGCTCCCCATAATACTGGCAGGCAACGTGTTTACACGTGCCCGGCTCTATGGTTGGGGGAAGCCGGTCTCGTATACGTTTGAGCTCGAAGAGGGTCAGTGTCCCGAACTTTCGGTAACTCCACGTGCTGCCGAACGCTGGAAGCTTATCGCACAGCTTCCGCGCGTTTGGTCCGAAAGTTTCTTCTTCCTCCAAAATGAAGACATCGTCCGGGCTGTCCCCGAAGAACGCCCGCCCGTAGATAGCCGTGTCGTGAGGGTCGCCGCCCAGGGAAGAAGTTTCGTACGGTGCATCCAGATGACCCGGCAAAGTCCTGATGACATGTCCGTGGCCGCGAGAAGAACCGAGGTCGGTTGTGTCATTGCGAGGCATGGCAAGACCGAGCACCTGATGAGCAGCGTTTAATGCGAGGAATCCTGTTGCGAGCCACATCTTTGACTTTGGGGCGGATTGATGCTGGGGCTGGCTGAGGTTGACGTCAAGAGACTGAAGCCGTGGCAGTTGGAGGAGCACTACATTGGCCGGGTGCCATGTGCACGATATATGTATTGCCGCGGCTTCATGGCTGGGAAGGTCCGCCACCACCGATCATGTTTCATCCACATTCTCCTTCCGTGCGATGCACCGTGCGGCTGTGGCACGGGACACGATGATGCGCTTCACTGCCAAGTGCTGGAGGCGCGTTTCCGATGCAGCCATGGGCAAGGTTGTCTTGTTTCGCTCTTGGGCACTAGACGGCCAGGGCGGCGTTTCGGTCTTTTTCGGGACACAACTCACTCGCGCCCCATGCAGCGCAGTGCATGTAGGCAGCACTGCTCCAGCCCGCGCGTGATCTCGGCGGCAATGCGAGACAGGGAGGGCTGCAACACATGCATCAGTTGCCAGCTGATCCTTCTTTCGGGGGTCGGCCGGTGGCCAAAGCCAGCGTAGAGAGACGACGACGCATGCACAGCGTTGGCCCCCGATCGTTGAGCCGAAGCCGAGCAGGTTGTTTTGGCAGCCCACGAATTACAGGGTAAACGTGCTTGGAGTTTTCAACAAGTCGAGGATCGCTCAACACGCGGAATCACCAGCATCGACTTGCTGAGGGTGCGACCTGGCGGACGGCGTGTAGGCTTGGTAGTGTCTACGCTCCGGCACCTACCCTACAGGCGACGTGCCGCCCCAGAGGCCGCGTCGTACTGAACAGCTGGGCTTGAGCAGGGACAGCACTTACCCCAGACATGTCAGTCAAAGCACCATCATGAGATGTTACTTTTTCTCCTTGCTCGACGTGACTTGCTTCTCCATGCGAGATCAGCGCGTTCTCGGCTGTCTCTGGTTCACATTTCTTAGTGTTGGTGTTGGCGTCCCCGGCAGCATTGAAGGCAGACATTATGGAGCCGAAGTGGGTAGATAGGAATCAATCTCGAAATAAAGGAGAAGCTGGTTCATTGCTGTGCAAGACATCTTGGAACCTGTTGTACTTTTTCAAGGCGGCCTCTTATACGAGTATAGCTGGATCTGGCGAGGCGCCAGACCTGGAGGCGCGATCCCACTTTGGGCAAATGTGCGAGCTGTTGTAGTTCGTGGGGGCTGGACTGCCCGTCACCCCGCGACCCTTCCACACGCGGTCCTTTATGCGAGACGAGCCTCCAGACTTCAGAAGTCCAGAGGAGCGCCACCCCCTCGACAATGAGGTCTATCGCAACAGAACAGGTTCGCTAGGCCCCAAGGCCACTTTCACCGGCAGGCACAGCTCGGGAGTGGTTTGTGACGAATTACTTGAATGCACGGGGAGCGTGCTGGGGAACATGAAGCCGAGGCCCGAGGGTCGAGGGCTGGCGAGACTGTGGTCGTTTAAGAACAGAGTATCTGTTATCATTCATCACCGTTACAAGAAGAGGACGCCTTATTTGTCACAAGAAAGTGAATCAGCTCCCGAATTGCGCAAAGTCGCTGCGAGCCATCATGACTTCCCTTACCCAAGCGTTCGCCAACATGCCGCAGGCTGTCGAAGCCAACATGACCCAGCGTACATCAGTCAACATTGGTTTAAAGAAAACACCTGTACTTCGAGGTTGGAGGCTTGTTGTTTCTGCCTTTCTGTGTGTCTGCTTCCTCAAAATGTGCCACTTCGAGCCTGCTAATATATTGAGCAAGCTTGACAAACGTCACTTTCTGCAAAAGTATTTCTGGAAGGAAACTGGATTCGTCAAACTGAAAGATGTACCAGGGCTCGACATCACCCCGAGACACGACGTTGGCCACCAATTCTTCAACCCCGTGGAAGCAGGGCTTGCGTTGACCCTGTTTCTAGCCGACAGTTATCCCTCTCTGTATGGGCAATTCACCGCCAACAATGTTGCCCCTCGACGACCAACTCGACGATGTCGAAATCAGCCGGCAATTTCATTCCGCGCTCGACTACCATAATGCTTACATATCAGGCCGCGTGACTCCGTGCCAGGTTGCTCGAGCAATCCTACGCCTCATCCATCCGAAAAGCTCCGCCTCCATACACAGAGAATCATGGATAGAGATACACGAGAATGAGACCCTTCAAGCTGCCAGGCTTTCAACAGAGCGCTTTGCCTCTGGGAAATCTCGCGGCGTACTGGACGGTGTGCCATTCGGCATCAAGGCCGACATCAGGGTTAAGTCTTTCATCACCTCGATGGGCATGCAGGTGGTCCCTGAATTGCCTTGCTTTCAGCCAGCAGGGGAATCGGCTTGGCCTGTGACGAAACTTGAGGAAGCTGGAGCCATCATAATAGGAGTCAACAACATGCATGAGAACGGGGCAGGCAACTTTCCCAATGTGGCCCAGTTGTGGGCGGTACTCGAGCTTGCTGACCACGAGGCAGACACTTCTGGAAACAATGTGAGGTGTACCAGGTATTGATTGCGGGTCGGTTTGCTAACCAATGCCGCACGCCGAGTAGCCCACGACCGGAACGCCGCTTAATGCGTACAACCACTCCTACTACCCCGGGGGCTCGTCTTCTGGCGCAGGTGCCAGTACAGCAGTGGGCCTGGTCCCAATCTGCTTGGGCACAGACGCGGGTAAGTTGACTGCGTTGAGACAGTAGGGAAGCCCGAGGACGGCCCTAACCATATATGCCAGGCGGAAGCGTTCGTATACCAGGAGCCTGGAACGGGATATATGCACTCAAGCCAACACACCATCGACGAGGGTGCCGCAACTCCACCGTGTCGGTTGTTGGGCCGATGGCTGCAACTGTGGCAGATCTGACCGTGGCCTATCGCCTGGCGGCGCAAACGGATCTCAACGACAACGTCCAAGGATTATTCTGTGTTTTCAATACCTCCAAACGTGGGCGTGCCGAAGCTCATTGGCTTGTGCCACGAGTGGTTGGACCACTCCGACCCGTTGATTCAGACAATGTTCAAAGAGATGACAGGATACCTCACTTCTCACCTTGGCTACCAGGTCGTTGAAATACACCTGCCCTATTTGGAAGAAGGACAGCTTGCGCACGGAGCCGTTTGTCTCAGCGAGGCGGTTGGCAAAACCCACTCTCGAGGGTCGCGTTTAAACAACTGGCTCACAATGGTCAATTGCCAGGGCCAGGTGCTGCTCTCAACCGCGCAGCATGCATCCGCTATGGAGCTGATCAAGCGCGGGCAGTTGCGGCAGGCAATCATGCAGCACTTGGCATGGCTTTTCAAGCAGCATCCTGGCTTGATTATTCTCCCTCCAACCACGCCGTTCTTGGGATGGGAGATACACCAGGACGATGCACGGTTTGGATTGTCGGACGGCAATGTGTGTTGGAACAGCACGCGATACACGTGGCTGGCCAACTTCTCCGGCATTCCGCCTGTGCAGTTCCCCATAGGCTATGCAAGCGCCCCGTGTGGTTCTGGGAAGCTTCCTGTAGGCGCTATGGGGATGGGGCAGTGGGGTTGTAAGGAGCCGCTGTTGGGTCTCGCAAAAGAAGCGGAAACATATCTGTGCGAGGTCAGTCCCGACGGACGGCTGAGGCCGCAACACCGAGTCGATATACTGCGGTTGGCTGAAGAGGAGAAACATGAACCGGCAGAAGCTTGGGGGTTATCGGATGCATTGCACGATCTATCCGGGAAAGCCCCTTGACATGTTCTGAAATAATATCTTGACTTCGCATTGCTACATACATTGTCATTCCCTGTCGATGATCAGTAACTAGTATCAAGCTTCGTGATCATCCCGCAAACAGGTCTGTCCAATCTCTGCTCCGGCCCAATTCCAGCCCGAAATTGTCAGCCACTAGGGTATCCATCATGTTCGCAACCCAGCACGCTTGAGGACTTCCCCACAGGAGATGCTGCGATGCCATCTGTAGGGGGAATATAAGGGAAAAGGCCAGCGCTGTAGAGCCTCCATCTCGCAGTATCACGTGGGCCAGGGCGCAGATATCCATAGCCAGGCCACCTTCCGCACCATCCGGCTCCCACGCAGTGTCCTCACCGCAGTCGAAGCGATCTGCCGGACCAGACTCCGCGCCAGATGTGCCCAACAGCGGAAGTAACAGCGCACGAGACGGTTCTGAGAGGCAAAGCAGGATCGGGTGGTGGATGGCCAGTGCGAAGCGGTCGGCCTTGTCCGAGGGCAGTGCGCAACGTTCATGTTCATGTTGACAGGGCCCCCGCCACGTGTGCAGCGCTTGCAGAACTGTTTGTGTCCGATGGCGAAGCGCGCTTGCTGCGATGCTGGCACGCCCGGCCTGCAGTCGTAGAATATCGAGATCATGGAGGATTCCCGGCACCTCGGCGAAAATGTCCAGGAGGACTTCGAAAGAGCTCTTGGCGTCCTCTCCAGACGGCCACGCCATGAGGTTCCACGACGGCTGCACCAGGAAACACGGGACTCGGAGGATTCCATCACGAAGAAGATGCGGGCCGAGTTAGTAGCTGCTTAGAGAAGCGGCATGTTCGAAGCAAATCGCGGTCCATGCCATCTTGATGCCGCGTCGGTCCTCGCAGGAGGATCAATGGCCCAGTCAGAAAAGCCGACGGTACAGAAAGGGTAAAATATCCCAACCTACCAACTTTGACAGTCCGTCGTAATGTTTGAACCATGCTGTCGGCTCGGTGACGTTGATGTTCTCGTATAGCAACAAGCACATGACGGCTCTCAAGGTCCCGCAGTCGGGTTCCTGGTCTGAACTAGCCAAGCTGTGCGCGAGCTGTGCCAACGCGTCGCTGTAGAGCCACTATCCCTTTTCGTACATGCTCTTGTTCCGCGTCATCTTGCCGAAGAAGCTTGCCGCAAGTGCATGGAGGCAGCTCGCGTGGATTTTCGAGGCGTCTCGCCCGTCTGTGGCGATGAGTCGAGGCAGCACGGCGGCCGTGGGCATTGAAGGGTGTATCTCGGAGGTGGTGAAGTTGTGAATGAGGTGGGAGATGGAGACATCATCTTCGTGGGGAAAGATGGAGCGGATGGATTCTGTAGAAGTTGCGTGGTGCGCCAAACCTTGGGAAGCTTGGCCCGCACGTAAAGGCTGGTCCTTGGTGTTGTTTGTGAGTCTTGCCGTCCCGTCAACGAACATGGCATGGATGTCGTATCCCTGGCATACCAAGCCAGCTCGCCGGCAGCGCTCACAGCTGGGACGCGTATCGTCTGCAAAGTCGCTTATTTAGGCCCGCAATCGAGGGTGTTCTTCTTTGTTTGGCTGGTCTCGTACCGCACTTGACCTTTCGTCGCTTGCATGTCGTGCAACGACGACTCCGCCCCCCTCGGCCAACCATACTGGGCGCCCGACACCAAAAAGGTCCAATGGCACCCTCCCACGGCAATTCAACCTCTTTTCAGGCGGGCAGTCAGTCGAATATTCGCAATGGATGATTAGCAACACGTACGACAAGTATCTCGAGCTTATGCACTCTTCCACTGGTTGGGTGCTTCGGTTATCGTGCAACCCGCTCCATATCGAGAGAGTATCCCAGGCGGCAAGCCTTAGCGGCCCTACACCTTGCTTGGCCAGATATCCATCGCAGGGACAGTGAAAAACTACCAAATTGTCGCCCTATGGCAAGATCGTCTTCTCATTGGAAGCCAGTACTGAAACGAGCCCCCGGATCAAGTTGGAGGATGCTACCCCGCGTCCGCACGTGAGCGGTTATTAGGAAACAGCTAGGTCAGGAAACAAGGAGCCAATAGGACGAGGACCATTGCTGTGGTGACAGCATCCAAGGTCGATTCGTGGACAGCCATGAGCAAGGCGAGAGTTGATACCGGTTACCAGCACATTGACATCCATGGCGGTTGACGGGTCTGGCACTGCAACAGTTTAGGCTACGATGAGACCCAGGACAGAGGGTTGCAGTGTGGCCTGTTATGCACCGCTCCACCTGCCAGCATGCACACCCCCACAACACAGCGCCCTTCGCACCTTCAAGATCTACGGTACCAGGAGCCCATCTGCCTGCCGAGTTGCTCCAGGAATATTTGAGTCGGCCAGACGTCTAAGCAATGCGGCCAGGCTGCCCTTGATCCTGTTGCCTGATGTGGCCTTCTCGCCGACGACCAAGCAGCGGACGGCACACCCCGAGGACGCCATGGTCGGTCCGGCCCGTTTTGCAACGTCGGAACGGACTCGGCAGGCGATCCACACAGACCGGTTCCATGCACGATATCAATCGTGTCGTCGATGTCGCCAACCAAGCAGTGGGCATGACGTCCAAGGTGATGATGACCCTCCTCACCAAATGAACGTTAGCCAACTGGCAACCGAATCATCAGGTGCCCGTTGCGTCGCTCATGTTGAGCAGTCGCGATAGCAGTAGCACGAGTGTTCAAGGCCACACCCGACGTTGGCTTAACGCGATATCGCCTTCTCGACGCGTGGAAGCTGAGGGTGACACAACAAATCAGTCTTTTCATGAGAAACAGTTTAAATAGAGGCAAGATGCATCCTTAACTGTATACCGCGTCTTGAGCGCAAGAACGTTGCTCCTCCCCCCCCCCCCTTTCGTCTTTGGTTCCTAAACAAGGTGCTACCCGGAAGCTTCTGTAGGTAGCTATAAAGCAGAGCCTGGTAGCTTGGACGGAGCTCCGTTGGTCTAATTACTTACCTACCCATCCGACCTCGCACAAACAGGGCCCAGTCCCTGCCCGAGGTAAGTGCCTGGTACTGTGCGCACGCCCCGTCGACTTGCCCGTCCGACCACCAGTTGTAGCCGCCGACTTTTACACAGGGCAGCGGCGGCAGCACGGGCTGGGTGCTGGGCGCCGGGAAATTCTCGTCGCCGGGCGAGCCTACCACGTACCCTGGGCAAGCTTGGCCAGCTTGGAACTGGCACCGGCACCGACGCAGGCCAGCCAGCATGCAGCCCCTGCTAGCGAGAAGAAGCCTTCTGGCAGCGCTTCCATTTTTTCTGCTGGCGTACCGCGCGCGCGACTGTTGCCAGACCCCTGCCCGGCTCCCGTCGCGCTGGGCGTCTGTTGGGCCGCCTGGGCCTGCCTGAATTCCGATGCAGCCACCTCGGCCGGCAGCCAGCCACGCCAGCATGGATGGATGGCTGCAACCTTGCTGGGCCCGGCTCGGTGGTGAGACGCGCTGCAGGCCTGTCCCGAGACGGCGGGTGCGTGTGGCAGCCTCAGCCTTAAGGCAACGTCGCTGCAGCATCGTGGCAGTTTGGGTTCGGCCCAGCGATCCAGCGGCAAAGTAAAATATCCATCCTCCTGCCCTTTACACCGTCCCGGCGGGAAACGCGCACCGGCCAGGCGTCTACAGTATCATGATGATGGCTGATTTGCGTGCGTCGGCAAAAACAGACCCGTCGCGTCACGTCCAAGCAATCTGCGTCATTTACGACAAATCGTCGACAGCAGCTCGCTGGTCACGGCAGGGCATGGGTAAAATTTTTTCGCTCCCGTCGGCCGCGGGCGGCGTCCCAAGCTGCGCGACCAAGACACCCGGTCCATCCTCAGGGTCCCACTCATAGCCTCGCAACCGAGATCCGCCCTGCCATTGGCAGATTGGGTGGCTTGCGCTGATGACGCCAGGGTGGCAGGTGGTAAAAAAAGGCCACTGTCTTGCTTCTCTTTGCCGTGCCGCGCACCAGCCGCGGGCGTCTCCCGGCGCCCCGTGCCCTTGCCCGGCGCTGCGTCGCCTATACCCGAGGCCTGCAGCCCGTCTCGTCTCACTCGTGCCTTGGCTTGCCGCGGTGCGTCATGGCGAGGCCCGAGCCGAGCATGTCGCGATGCCGTCGACGTGCGACGACGTTGAACGACTCGGGGTCCATGGGCGAGGACGTCGATTCGATTGCATGCCGCGATGCTGTCGTTGACGCGCAGAGAGAGCGAGAGAGTAGAGACGAATCGATGCTGGGCCGGCCAGCGCCTCGGGCCGGCCAGCGCCAGAGCAGCATCAGCAGCCGCCGCTGTGCCGGACCCTGTGCGCCGGTCGTGGCACGGCAGGCAGCCGCTGCGCGGTCGGTACTTTCGTCGCCTCGCAGACGCCGGGACAACGGGACGAGCGCCTCCTCTTTATAGCTGTCGTGGCCCCCTTTGCCGCTTATCATGTGCCACAAGGCTCTCCTTGCTGGAAGCAGACGCCGTCCCATTGTTTTCGTCGTCTCGTCCGGCGGTGCCTCTGGCCTCCAGTGCCTCCGTCGACCCCCTTTTCCGCCTCGGTCAGAGCCCGCCCGCCCGTCATGGGCCTCGTGGGCATAACCGCGAGCGCTGCACCGCGACCGCAACCGCGAGCTCGTCCCTCTCCGTCCCATGCTCCGAATCCACCTGCGATCCACCCACGTGTCAGGGCGCAGGCACTTGCAGTCTCACTTGAGCTGCGCCATTTGGCGCTCGCGGTCCTCGTGCCCGTCAATGGGCGCCGCCAAGTGGGGCGCACACCCTGGTCCGGCTTGGACGACCGTGGAGCCTCATTGCCTGGTGCCCTTCCAGTTCCGGTAATCTGCGCTGCGAACCTTATCAGTCGATATCGCGCTGGTTTTTTCTTCATGCCTCAGACAACAACGTCAGAACCTTCCGGCCCCGTCCCCATCCACGGGCCCCAGACGAGGTCCCCCGAACAGGGTGCGAGAGCCATCTCGGTCGTCGTCGAGGCATTGCGTTCGTCCGTGTTGTCGGCGCTCGTTCGTTTCGCTCGCGGGGTCGTTGGATCTCGTTGTCATTGTCGTTGCGGCCGTCGCTGCCGTAGCCGTTTTCGCCGCCACCGCAGCGCCGTTTTTCGTAACCCATGATTCATGGCCCACCCACCAAAGCACGCAAACAACCGTGTAAACGCCTCAGGCAGTGAAACGGTCAACCTGGCGTATTCCTTTGTCCACAATCCAACCATGGCCCTCCGCCGAACCCACCCGGCTTCCCCCGACGGGTTACCAACCCGTGCGAGCCTTCGTCCAGGCCGGATTTGCACCCGCCGTCCTCGTAGTCTGTAGCCCGTGGCCGCGTGAAAAATCTCTCTCGCCCTCGATATCCACCACCTCCGGACCTGCCTGCCACCCCGTGCGTGTGTGCGTGCTTCATCCTCACCGTTGCCCCGGCTGGCCGCCCTCCATCCTCGAACCCCCTGACCCATCTTCCCCCCCGAGTGGAACCCTCTTCTCGTTTCCCTCCCCCAGATCCAGTCTCCTTCCCTCTTCCCTTTTCTTCCCACAGCTCTGCTCTTCCCTCCCACACTCCCAGTTCCTCCTCTTCACTTTCTTGCCTTCAACCTTCGAGTCAACTCCCTCCAAACAACACTCTCCCCTCACACAACCGTCACAATGGCCGCCACCCGTGTCTTCGCTTCCCGTCTGGCCACCCAGATGGCCACCAAGGCTGCTCGCCCTGCTATCCGCGCTCCCGTCGCTGCCGCCTCTAAGCGCACCATCTCTGGTAAGAAAAACTTTTTCCGGCCCGGCTCCGGCTCGACGACGACGAGCAACCGAGCCATTGAAGGGCCAATTGGTCGGATTGATGGCTGACGGCGACGATTCAAGGCTCTGCCAGCCCTCTCCAGACCCTCAAGCGCCAGCAGGCCACCACCCTGCTCCAGGCCACGACCCGAAATGCCTTCCAGGTCCAGCGCCGCGCCTACTCTTCTGAGATCGCTCAGGCCATGGTCGAGGTCTCCAAGAACATCGGCATGGGCTCTGCTGCCATCGGTCTGACTGGTGCCGGTATCGGTATCGGTCTCGTCTTCGCTGCCCTCCTGCACGCCGTTGCCCGCAACCCTGCCCTCCGTGGCCAGCTCTTCTCTTACGCCATTCTGGGCTTTGCCTTCGTCGAGGCCATCGGTCTCTTCGACCTCATGGTTGCCCTCATGGCCAAGTTCGTAAGTCGACTCCGACCGGCACATCCGCGGGATGCTCGAAATGGTGAATTTGAGACTGACATGCCTCTTTTCAGACCTAAATTATTTCCCATTCGTTTGGGAAAGCTCCTGCCGCGTGATGGAGCTGTAATATCCGAGGGGAATGCTCGGCGGTGCCTCGCGTGGAGTCTTGGCGGCTTGCCACCGAGGACTCACCTGCCGGCATACATGAGAGACGGAGGGATTGCATTATAGACGGCATAGAAACGGGAGCGGCGTCGAAAAGGGACGTCGTTGAGACGGTCTGGGTGAACCCGGGCGTCGTCCTCTCAGGAACTGACTTGTAAAATAAAAGCCTCATTCATCTCGATCCTTCGACCATGAAGAGACCTTTTTTCCTTTGTCACCCAATACATCATATCACAACGAATGCCAGCTTTGACATGCGTGAAATGATGCGTGAGCCCCTGTGACCAAACTCAATGCCACCGAACCCGCACGTCATTTGCATAGTCTTCGTCAATTGCGGGCGGCGACGCGCTTGCTCGCACCCGCTCCTCTCGTCCGATCAAGACCTGGGGAAGCTGGAGATTTGGCTGGCACTGCCGAGCTGCTCTCCTCTTAGCCGAGGGCACCCGAACGTCCTGTCAACAAAGCAGAGCAGGCCACTTCCAGGAAACACCCTTGCCGCGCGATGGAGACACCACATGACCAAGCCCTCCCTGTGTGCGATGCCTGCAAATCCAGGCAGGCCCTGTTGTTTTGCCCTGGTGCGCACCCGGAGGAGACGGCTCCACACGGTGCCAAAGTGACCATCCAAAGGTCGTGGGGCCAGGAGAGCTTCACTCGAAACCCATAGGTCGGGAATGGGGAGGTGCTCCTGGACTGGTGTTTGGGGGTGGACCTGTGCCAGAACACGCGGAGGCCATGGCGCCATGGTCCGGGGAATAAAAGTATAAGTGCCCGGCATCAACCTCGAGCTCCAAGGGGCGCTGTCGCCTGGTAGACAGCAAGCATGCGGTCTGCTTCTCAGCACAGCGGCCCCAATTCGAACTCGAACACTGCATGACGCACGTCGGAGGCCGTCGTATCGCCGCTGCGGTTCTCCGGTGGGGACATTGGGCGTGGCCGAGTGTCCGACTTGATGATCCCGGTTTATAACCCCGTTTGGCCTTGCTTGGCTCAGGCTCGATTCTCCGTGTTAATCGTGGATAGATGCTGAACAAAAGAGGAAGGCGGCAGGACGTGTCGTCACCGGGCTCAGGCCGGGCCAGAGCGTTCCCGAGTTTGCATTTCGACTCGACGCAGGGTTCCAATTGTCGCCTGGGACAGCACAGCAACCATGAGTCGTCACCTGTTGCGCTGCCGTGAAGCCGAGGACAAGTGTTGATGCTCTACAGGCAGAGACGGAAGTCAAGTGCTCGCCGAAAGGTCCTGCAGCTTCTGTCCCACGCTCGAGGTAGTGCCTGGGCGTGCAACTTTGCCTGCGGGCAGGTTCTCGGCTGGGACATGGTCAGCGTCCACGGTGATCCTCGTTCAATATGGCATTGAGCGTTGCCAATTCAGCATCCGGTCCACGGGAGAAAGCTGCAAGCGTTCGTCAGCAGGCCATTGGAAAGGAGTAGGGGCGAGCGTGAGGGTCCTCGCACCATCTCTGGATCCACAGCTCTGGGTCGACGACACCATACCAAACGACATGATCGTGCACCACGCTCATGTGCTGGCGTCTTTCCCGGCGCCATTGGCGTTCAACCGGCGCGTTTTGTCTCGCAAGCTGAGGAGGAGGCAGGTCAAAGGAGAAAACGAGGAGATGTTGGCAGGACGGCTCGTTCTTCCCCTCACACTTTCCCCTCACGAAGGGTCATGTGACCTGACTGCCTGCGCAGCGCCAAAGACGGACAGGCCGTGCAACGTCGGCTCCGCAACAGGGACTTGAAACGGCGATTATGGACTGACTTGCTGCAGGAATCAAGTGATGTCGATGCAGTGCAACGCGACGAGCAATGCGGCGCGCGAGACGCGTTCAATGCAACGGTGGTGTTGAAGGGCGCCGCCACGCGTGCGCGCGCAGCCATTGAGCTTGGTCCGAGGGCGCCATGAACTTTCTAGCAGCGCTAGAGACACGGAAGCCAGCACAGAGAAGTCCGGCGCTGTATTCCGTTTTTCGTGCCTACTGGATGAGCATACATATACGCCAGGGCTCACAACGTTGATGTACTATGTACATACGTACGCAATGTGCAGTGCGGCCTGGCCTGCCGACCTGGTCCCCAAATGAGATACCCTAGACGAGTGCGATCAAGAAAGCACTGTTCGGTGCTGCGTGCGTTGTGAATGGCGAAGACAGAATGAGAACAAGGGCAAAATGAACAGCATACTTTGACTCCATCATGGGCCGTCGTGGCAATGGATCCAATCTATTTCCAATCTATATCTTGGCGCAAAAGGGTCACTTAAGCGGACGCCGCGTCAAAGGACAAGCAACCGTCCGCGTCACGCAAACACACATCCTTTCAACCAGCAGCCTCCGAGGTCCATCTGCATGGACCGCGCTCGCAGCGACCAGTTGTAGGCCGGTCAGGATTCCTGCCACCATTGCTGCAAGTCGATCTCGGTAAACGGCAGGGGCAGCGTACAATCTGCTGGCGCCTGTCTCGACTCGGCCCCCGCGTCGGGTGTCCTGAATTGGGGGATGGTACAGCCTCCATGAGGATCGGGGCACTGCGGAAATCACGGCGGTTAGTAGCTGCGTGAGCCCGACGCGTGATGGGGTTAGAGTTGATGGTGTCTGGTGTATGCGGTGCTCCGTACCGGGTAGTCAGAAGCGCATCTCCTTTCGCTCCAGACAAAATCGAAACTGTAGAGTCCTCCCCATCGCCGCGCGACCCTGAGACGCTGGAATTTGCAGGTGTTTTTGGAGTGTAAACAAACCTGTGCATGAATCTCAGTAAATGCAGTCCTCTCTTAAACGCACCAGACGACGCTTCAAGCTCGGAGAATGCAAGCACCTACCCCCCCACTGTTCTTGTCGTTGAACGCGGCAGCAAACTGCTTCGCCTCTTCGAGGCACTCGAACACTGGCCTGCTTGAAGACATCGTGATTAAAGTCGCTGCCGGAACCGCAGGTCTGCGAGGGATGCCCGCGTGCCCTTTATACGTCAGGCTTGACGACGCGACCCATGATTCCTCATACGAATAACCCAACTAATGAAGGATATTAATGGAATCGAGTACATAACGAGCTGCCTGTCTTGCGCAGTCCATACCGTAGACGCCCGCAGAACGCTCGGGCCAAAGAGCTATTGTGAGAAGCGTATCGTTTCGTAATACGTCAGAGCGGGGCGGTTGTTTCGCTCCAGTTTATGACCAGAATAGTGTTGGCCCTCGCGTAGTCAAGGCGAAGAGACAGCAGTTGGCGCGATGGCGAAGGGGCTTAGCAATGCAGTGTCCAGGACATGGACAGGCAGCCACACCGGGAAGGGTTGCACAAGCACACGACGCCGAACAAGGCCCCCATGGGAACCGAAAACATGCTGCATGACCAGTCTCACAACGAGTATTTCAAGTTTCCACATTGCGCATCGAAGAATATTCTACAATGCGTGTGTTCGGCCAATATGGCCTAGCATAGTGCTACACGTCCGTTCTACCATACATGGATTGATGCATACCCCCGACTTCCGCAGCGTGCCTACTTTTTGAAAGTGGCACTCCTCTCGCCTCGCACGGGCGGTGCCTTCCGTGCCCCCTTCAAGGCGTCATCTCCAGTCTTTGCGTACGGGTCAAACACCTTCTTGGGCTCCCGCGTCGGCGTGCTGGCGTCTTGCTTTGCGTGCAGAACCGACCGCGCTTTGGTGTAGTCGAACGGTTCCTCCTCCGCCTCTGCATTCTGGTCGCCCTGCTGTCTCTGCTGCTTCTCCAGTCGTTTCTGAGCCTTTCGTGCCTCACGCTCAGCTCTTTTCTTGGCGTGCGCTTTCTTGCGAGACTTGGGCTGCTCGTCTTCGATGCTGATCACTCCATCTGCTTCCTCGAGGGCTGGCTCCTCCGCTTCACCCACCGACTCCTGTGCCTCGTCCTCCTCGATGGCCTCCGACTTGCGTTTTCTTCCCTTCTTCAATGTAAACTCTTCGTCCTTGTCCTCGTCCATGGCATCCGCGACGGCGGTCGCAGTCTCCTCTGCCGGGACACTCTCCTCCAGGACGGCTTCATCTTCGTCCTGTGCAGGCCCTTCCTGCACAAAGCGTTGCCATGGGAAGGGGACGAGGCCCTCGTCTTCTCGCACCGTGCGTCCGTTTTCCCACAAGGTGCTTATGGGCATGCTGCCAAACAGCTGCGATTGTGGCAAACTCCTAATGGCAATTTCCCCCTCCAAGGCGGGCATCTGAGTCGTCAGCAACGACTTTGCAGCCGAACCAGACTTTGCAGGACCAGTGCCTTCTGCCGAGTAAAATCGTAGGGCAGTTGGGCCGCCCTTGGACCTGGCTTCCTGCACCAATTCCCAAACTTCCTGGAAACGGGGCCTCGCCAGTGGCGCCGTGACAGGTAGCAAGCTGTGCAGGGCCTTGAGGTCCGGCGGGTTGACGCGTGCGATGCTGATGAGATTGTTGGTTCCCAGTACGAAATTGGGACTCTCGTCTTCCTGACGAGCCAAGGTATCTCGCCATTTCCACAGAGCGCGGAAGATGGCGAATTGCTCGCCGTCGAGGCCGAGATGTGATTGCTTTAGTAAAAAGTTGTACCAGCCCCGTGGTCCGACCCCGGTGGCTTCGTCGTAGTCGGGATTCTCGTGTCTAGAAAGGGCCAGATCCTTGGAGCGCTGGAGCGCCCGCGTGATCAAGTCTGTCTCGGGGCGACTGCGGTCTGACGTGGCAATGAGCTCGTTTCGCAGACGATCGTATATGTACAAGAGATAGTGAGTGTCGGATCGTGCGTAATACATCATTTCGTCGGGGATTGGCCTGGAGCAGAGTCAGTGAGTGTCTCGCGAATGCATCGTGCCGAGGGACGTACCGTATTCTCCAATCCGCAAGCTGGTACTGCTTGTCCGCATCAAAGTCGACAAACTTTGATAGGAGAAACGCCAGACTCTTGCCGGGGTACGAAAGAAGATCGCACGCGAAGAAGGTATCGAAAAGACCGTTGACGTAGAGGCCGAGATCGCGCTGCAGCCAGACCATGTCCATGTAGGCACCGTGAAAGACCTGAAATTGGAGCGTCAGCAGATTCGCGAGGCAAGACGTGTGAGTGCGGTCCGCGTAACATACCTTGATGATTCTGGGGTCGGCAAACACCTCGTTGAGGACCTCGAGCTTGTGGCGCCACGGCTGCAGGGTGTCGACGATCCAATCTTGCTCTCTGGTGCTGACTTGCATCAAGCAGACCAGCCCAGTATATGTCCTGAAGTCGTGATGTTCCAGATCGACGGCAATCTCCTTTGCCTTCTTCAGCGCCTTCAGCATGTCCAGGACGCCTTCGTACGTGTCGACCCATGTGGCTGTCGTCGACTCGGCGGGCTGTGGCGGAATGGGCTCCGCCCTCTTGAACATTCGGTCGGGATACGTCATTTGCGTAATCTCAGTCTCGTAAGGATGCTTATATCTGCAAAAAGATCGTTAATGGGCGTTTCTTTCGCCATTGCGGGTGGGCTTGACGGACTGAGGTTTGTCGTTTTCATTCGGTGAGACGACCAGACTCTTATCCAGCGCGACTGTCGCGTGTGGCTTTTTGGTGAGAATGGGTTTCCAGGGACCCGTGGGGAAGTTGTCGGGTTTGCTCTCAAAGAGCAGCTGGGGCTTGGTGACGTTGGCGTTGCGGATGACCTTGTTGGTCGACTTGGCCCTCTTTGAGCTCGGAGCCTGAGGGGATGTTAGCGAGCGCACTCTCTCAAACAGTTTCCATGTTGACGGGGCTCACCGTGTCGGAGCTGGGAGGCTCCTTTCGCTTGACCAGGCCGGTGTACTCGTCGAGCGCCGTGTCGGCCTTTTCCAGGGCCGAGTCGACGACGTCCACGACGGACTGCCACTTCATGTCGATATCCTCGACATCTTCGAGCGCGGGCGGTTTGACGCCGCAAGCCTTACCAGCGGTCTCGAGGAGACGCGTGGACAGGGCGAGGACGCGACTGGTGCTCTCGTCGAGCTGCTCGGCGACATCGGGGTCGACGGTGCGCTGGAAGGCCAGGTCCTCGGCGGCGATGCGATTGACCGTCTTGACGGCGGAGACGAGGGCCTTTTGTATGCCCTCTTGGAGGGACTTGAAGTCCTGTGGCGTCTCCATCGCGAACGGTCGCGGGGACGGGCGCGACGAGTGTTGTGATGAGGAGAATCGATGCCTGTTGTCGCGAGCGCACGATGCGTGGCAGAAAATTGGGCTTTGAACATTTGCATGGCGCGGCTTATCGATAAGAACACCCGGCCGCCAGCCGTGGCGGTGGGGTGACTGGGTCGGTTCGCCGTTCTGCAGAGGACGCTGTGGAACCGGCCTCACTTGGAAGCTACAACGTCACAGGCCACAGCGGAGGTTGGCTGTTGCAGGATGAAATGTACTACGTACGAGGCGATGCTTGGGTGCATGGGAGAGCAATCAAGGTAACATTGCAATATTTCTCTGAAAAGACAGATTCTTCGAATGCCACGCCGACGGCGGTGACTTACAGAGCACGACACGTATCGGCCTCCCGTCGCAGGAAACAGATTCAACAAGGGTCTGTCAGGTTCTTGTGTTCCTGCCTCTAGCTGCTCAAAGCTGCCTTTTTCAATGCGGAAATCGGCCGGGAGATGTGGATGGCGATGGCATCGCCCTCACGTAAAAGCCAGTGTTGGATCCCGTCTGGAGACAGGGCCCCCGCCAGGGCAGCCAGGGCGGGCAGGGGCAGCTGCCCGTGGCTGGAGCGGGAGGTTTTGGTCCGGGGGCCCGGGGCTCCAACGCCTCCCCAGCATGCGCCATCCATTGGCTGCCCTGGTTCAGCGCCACGGTGCAGTTGCTCCGACCTGGCAGCATGACGCGGGTCTTGCGACAAGAGGATTTCAGCGAATTGCCTGCTCTGTCCTGTCCTTCAGGCACGGAAACATGGCATGCAAAAAAAAAAACAGCCCAACAAGTGAAAGTTGGGCGTTGGGGGCCTGACATTCTAGGCCCGTTTCGTGTTGCGTGTGTGCTGCAATTGTAGCGCCTTGCCTTGTGCTGCGGGCGCTGGTGGCACTCATCCAGGGCGCTCTGCCTGGGTACCTACCTATAGTACCTCCTAGTACGTGACCTTAGGTACCTGACAGTTGACAGGGTGCCGGCCTTGCCTGACGTCGCCGCTGCCCCTCGCTGCCCCTCCTCGTCGCCAATTTACGTTGGCATTGCGCCGATCTTGCGCTCGCCCTTGCAACGCGAGCCCAAGACAAAAAAGAAACATTTCTGTCCTGCTCCTGTAACTTGGATGCACATCGTTTTTTGCTGCCTCCGTCCGTGTCCTCGAGACTCTGCGCACCCGACAAACACTGCCGGGCACCTCACGCACGCACCAGCTATCTGCAGCTGAAAGCGACACGGCGCATCCTCGAGGTGGAGACGCATGCCCATCGAAACTCAAGCCGTCCGCTAGCAACGCTTCCGATCCCATAGCGTGACGTCGACTCGACCCAGCCCCACGCAGCTCCCCCCCAGCTCCCATCGTACGCCCAAGGAGTACCACGCTGCGCCTGACTTTTGTCTCCAGACACCTCGAGCGTCTCTCGAGTGCCTCCCCCCCCGAGCTTCCGAAATCGCACTCTTTACCGGGCACTCGATCAGCAGAGACAATAGAAACAAAAAAGCAGCTTCGCAAACTCCCATGACCGCCGCCGCCGCCATGCCTGGGGCCGTCGACAACGCGCAGGCCCCGCCGGGCCGCCTGCTGCTCCTCTCCAACCGCCTGCCCATCACCATCAAGCGCGACGACGATGGCAGCTACACCTTTTCCATGTCCTCGGGCGGCCTCGTCACCGGCCTCAGCGGCCTGAGCAAGACGACGAGCTTCCAGTGGTACGGCTGGCCCGGCCTCGAGGTCCCCGAGAACGAGGTCGACCACATGAAGAAGCGCCTCAAGGACGAGTACGGCGCCCACCCCGTCTTCATCGACGACGAGCTCGCCGACCGCCACTACAACGGCTTCTCGAGTACGTCTACCTCCCCGGCACTCTTTCCGTTCCATCCCCGCTGACCTTGTCCGCAGACTCCATCCTGTGGCCCCTCTTCCACTACCACCCCGGCGAAATCACATTCGACGAGTCGGCCTGGATCGCCTACCAAGAGGTCAACCGCCTCTTCGCCAAGACCGTCATCAAGGACGTCCAGGACGGCGACCTCATCTGGGTCCACGACTACCACCTCATGCTGCTCCCGCAGATGCTGCGCGACGAGATTGGCGACTCCAAGAAGAACGTCAAGATTGGCTTCTTCCTCCACACGCCTTTCCCCAGCAGCGAAATCTACCGAATCCTGCCCGTCCGCAAGGAGCTGCTTGCCGGCCTGCTCGACTGCGACCTGATTGGCTTCCATACCTTTGATTATGCGCGACACTTTCTGAGCAGTTGCTCGCGCATCCTGGGGTGCTCCACCACGCCCAACGGCGTCGACTGGAACGGGCGCTTCGTTACCATCGGCGCGTTCCCCATCGGCATCGACCCCGACAAGTTTGTCGAGGGGCTCAAGAAGCCCAAGGTGCAAGAGCGGATCGCGGCCCTCAGCCGCAAGTTTGAGGGCGTCAAGCTGATAGTCGGCGTCGACCGCCTCGACTACATCAAGGGCGTCCCGCAGAAGCTGCACGCGCTCGAGGTCTTCCTCACCGAGCACCCGGAGTGGATCGGCAAGATTGTCCTGGTCCAGGTCGCCGTGCCCTCGCGGCAAGACGTCGAAGAGTATCAGAACCTGCGCGCCGTCGTCAACGAGCTCGTCGGCCGCATCAACGGCAAGTTTGGCACCATCGAGTTCATGCCCATCCACTTCCTGCACCAGTCGGTCAGCTTCGACGAGCTCACGGCCCTGTACGCCGTCTCGGACGTGTGCCTCGTGTCGTCGACGCGCGACGGCATGAACCTCGTCTCGTACGAGTACATCGCCACGCAGCAGGACAACCACGGCGTCATGATCCTCAGCGAGTTCACCGGCGCCGCCCAGTCCCTCAACGGCAGCCTCATCGTCAACCCCTGGAACACGGAGGAGCTCGCCAACGCCATCCACGACGCCGTCACCATGAGCCCCGAGCAGCGCGCCGCAAACTACCGCAAGCTGCAGCGCTACGTCTTCAAGTACACGAGCGCCTGGTGGGGCGCCAGCTTCGTCAGCGAGATGGTCCGCCTCAGCGCCGACAGCGCCAAGCCCAAGACGCTGCGCAACGTGTCGGGCGCCGTCGTCGGTGCCGCCGCGCAAAAGATTCAGCAGGCGGCCGACGCCGTCGAAAAGGCCGTCGTCGGCGACACAAAGGACGACGACGAGTCTGTGCCTCCGAAATGAGCCGTCTACCTCCCTCTCCATCCATCCACCGGTCGGATGACTCTCCTTGCTTTGACGCGAGTACGGATGGCATAGCACGACGGGCCACCCGCTCCTTCACAAATAGACTTACAGACCACATATTCCCCAGAAGCACCAAAAAGAAAAGAACCGATGGGGACGAGAAAAGATGATTGAAGCCCCGCCGTCGATATCATGTCGAGGCCGGCGCACGGAAAGTCGGAGGGCGTTATCTTGTTTTCATTGATGCGGCGCCGAGGATATATATTGGGCCCTTCCTTTCTATATCTCTGGCGTCTGGAAAGCGCGTATGCTGTTAGTTAGATGATTCAACAAGTAAAATACTTTCGTGTCTGCGAATCACCGCCTGCACTTGTTTGTCCTCTCCCGTGACTTGGTCATGGACCGTGGTATGTTTCCAGTTTGGGTTCAATTAACGTATCTACTGTAGACTAGCTAAGCCGTAGAAATCCTCACATCCCTCGGTGTCGGCCCACGGCCGTAAGTGAAGGGAACAGACAAGTAAATCGTGACGCGTGCGCTTTGTGCAGTGTGTAGACGAGGAATAGTCAGGCGAGAGGGGGTGCCGAGGGGAAGAAGAGGCAGTGGAGGAGGGGATGGGTTCGCAGGATGAGCACGTGTCCGTGCTGCAAGGTGTAAAAGGAGGTATCTCAGAACAGGGAAGCAAAAGGCCAGCAACGAGAAGAAACGGCGGCCCACAAGGAGGGTTAACGCAAAGTCAACGGATCCAACCCCTCCTGCAAAAGACTCAGTACGGCGAGTTGACGATGTCGTCCTTGCCGAGCTTGTAGCGCCCGCTGTCTAGGTTGCCGATGCGCGCGGAGCTCCTCCTACCGCCGGCACCGCCGCTGAGCCGGACGTCGCCGATGATGCTCTCGCGGGTGGGCTTGCGCAGGCTCTGCTTGGCGACCATGTTGACCTCGTTGGGCAGCGCGACGATGACGTTCTTGTCGGAGCCAAACTTGAAGTCGTCGGCCTTGACCTCCTCGACGTAACGTTTGATCTTGTACGCGCCCTTGACACCGCGCAGCACGCGCTTCAGGTTCCACTCGATAATGTACGGACCCGTGGCCGTGATGATGCTTGTCTCTTCGGTGCCCTCGCCCGTATTGAACTTGGCAGGCGTAAAGGAGATGGGCTTGCCCGTCTCGTGGTAGAACTGCGCGACGTGCTCGGGCGTGAGGGCGAGACGCTTGGGCTGCGGCTTGGAGTCGGCGGCAAAGGGCTTCTCGAAGCCGAGCTTGCCCTCGTTCTTGCCGCCCTTTTGCTGGGCGTCGACGAGCAAGAGGTAGTTCTTGGTCGTGCCCAGGATCCAGCGACCGTCGGCCGACACGTCCATGCCGGTGATGGGGTCGCCGAGCGCGGGGAGCTGGGCCTTGGCCCGGATGCCCAGGCGGTCGAAGAGGCGGATGTCGCCCTTGTTGCTGGCCACCGCGATGTAACCCTTTTCCGTCGTCGCGAGCGCGGAGAAGTCGTTCTTGGACGCGTACTGCTTCATGTCCGCATCGACGAGCTTGTTGCCGGCCAGACGGGGGTCTACCCGGTACAGCGCGTTGTTGGAGACGCCGAGGAACGTCTGCTCGCCAGTCATCTGCGCAAACTTGTTCTCCGGCGCAAAGTTGACGACGGGGATGTCGTCGTGCACGTTCCACTCGTCCACAACCTTGCCGTACTCCAGGTCCATGCGGTAGAGCTTGTTGGGGTCGATGTTGTTCTGAATGATCATGTCTCGATCTTCGCTGTGGAGCATGACCTTCTTGGGGCTCATGAGCTTGCCCTTGGGCGTCATGACCTTGGAAATGTTGGTGGAGAACTTGAGGCGGTTGTCGGGAGTGTGGGAGAAGACGCCGATCTTGGACCCGCGGACCACAAACGAGCGATCGTGCTTGTAGCCGACAGCCAGCTGCGAGTTGACCTCGCCCTCCTTTCGCTCCTCGTCTGCCTCTTCTTCCGAGTCGTACTCTTCGCTGCGGACACCCTCGTCTTCTTCCTCGTCCACCTCTTCCTCCTCCTCCTCCTCCTCGATGGGCGGCGCGTCGTCCATGTTGAGATCGGCGAATGAGTCGAGCACGTACTCGCGCTCCTTCTCCTGGATCTTGGTCCATTTCGTCTCGTTCAGCTTCTCCCAAATCGCCTGCATGACCGCCTCCTGGAACTTCTCGAGAGTCGGCTGGTCCTTGAAGCGAAGCAGCCATGACCTCGCAGACCCGTCGCTGCTGAAGTGGTTGAAGACAAAGGAGAGGTACTCAAAGTCGAAGACGGGGTTGAACTCGGCGACGACGGGGGTTCCCAGCCACGACTTTTCGTTGCCGTCAATCTGCAGCCAGTACTCCCACCGTCCGACCTCGGATACAGTGGCGATGACCGACTCGTCCATCATGACGAAATGGCCGGGCTGCGGATCGAAAAGATGCAGCTCCGCGGTGACGGCGGCGTATATCTCGATGGGCTTCGGCGGCGCCTCTGGGGTGGCCAGGGCAGCCTTGGCCGCGGGCTTCTCAGGCGTGACGGGGTCAGCCACGACGGCAGCGTCGGTGCGCTTCGCCGACGAGTTGGCGGGCGTCCGCTGCTTGTACATTTCGTCGACGGACTCGATGGATCGCGTGAGGGTCGGGCTGTGGATCGGGCTCGCGGGCGGGATGGGGTTCTCTTCGTGGAACTCAAACTGCTCAAAGTCGTCGTCGGCGGCGGTGGTGTGTGGCTTGCGGTACTTGCGCTCGTACTGGCACTCCTGGGCGGCGCGCACAAACTGCTGGACCTGCGACTCCGAGACCTGGGCGTCGCAGACAAACTCGTAGACGTCGCCCGTGTCGCCGCTCAGGTCTCTCCAAGCCAAGACCTTTTCCTCGCCCTCGCGGAACTCGGCGCGAAAGTGCAGCGCCTCGTCGAGGAGAAACGTCTTTTCGTCGCGCTCGGCGGCGAGGGCGTCAATCTCGGCGTCGTCACCCTCTTCCTCGGCGAGCAGCTCGGCCTCGCCCTCCTCGAAGACGCGCTGGACGACCAGCTGGTAGTGAAAGTCTTGGTTGGTGCGGCGGATGCGGATGGCCGAATCCTTGAAGATGAGCTCCGAGTAGCCCTTGGGCGAGAGCGGGCGAACGAGGTACAGCTGGCCCTGGGGCAGCTCGATGAGCGACTCTTGGGCGCTCGAGCCGAAGATCAGCTTGCCCACTGTGCGTTGGGTCGTTTGTTAGTCTGTGCTGCCTGTTCGGGTGCCCTGGGCAACAAGCGAGCGCGGGGCAAGCGACGATTGATTTTGCGCCAGGGAGACGACAAAGAGCACAAAGGAAGGGTCAAAGGGGAAGCAAGGGATGCTGCAACTCACCATTGCGCAGGACAAACATGGTCGCGGCGGCGGGCACACCTGGTCGTGCCGAGCAGACTCACGCAGACCCCTCACTCGCTCGCGCAATCAGCTGCTGAAATATCAACCAAGAGCTCTGCGGCGCTGACAAGGGCGGGACGGCGAGCGACGCAGCAGCCGGCGAAGGTGCAGCAGGGAAAAGAGGCTCGTTGACAGGTGGTGTTGCCGATATTAAAAGGCAGGCTGAAGCATGAAGCATGGGCGGCTGGGTGCCCCTCTCAGCGCGGCAGATGCGTCATACGCAGGGAAACGCACTGGTCTGGTTGGAAGCAAACAAGAAAGTTGGAGGGCTCGAATCGCGTGTCTGCCTGTGAGAAAGAGGTGTGTGTGGGTGGAGGAGGGGAGGGGCACGTCGGGCGGTGGTGGGACACGGTGGCGTTGGGGGGGGGGGAGGTCGTCATTTGCCACACGACACAAACTGTGGCGGTGCAGTCTCTTCTCTCACTGGGCTCCCGCCGACCATGCCGTTTGCGGATGGTGTGGCTGGTTTCTTGTAAGTCGAGCCGATGACCTTGGCCAACAGGCAGTTGCACCTTTTGCAGTGACATTTGCCGAGTGCTTTACCGGCCGTCTCGAGATGAGTGAAGGAAGAAACCTAGTCGCTATCTGGGCCGCATCGCCAACTGGCACCCGGTGCACGGCGTGTTCAGTCCATATATGTGGGTATGCTATTGACTTGGTTACTGCTTCTTGCAAGCCGTGACCCGCCTGACGTACAGGGTTGGTGCCAGTTTCTCGGGTTCTCAAGAACATATCCCTGTCACGGCTCTACATTTACTTCAACGACACGCTCGAACGTCGAAGAAAGGTAGGACCTGAACAAGAGTTTCACAACTTTGGCACAGCACCCTTCTGCTGCTTGCGGACCTCGCTCACCAGTTCAACCACCCCAGCAGCATATCCGTACGAGGATTGATAGCCATATCCACCGTGGCCGTAGTTGTGCACAATGGTGGTCGAGCCGTCCAGCGTCTCCTTCTCCAGACGGACTCCGCCTTTGCGGGCTGGCCGCAGTCCGACGGCATGCCGGATAACACTGAGTCCAGCAATGCCGTTCCCGCTTGCAATCTCGGGTCGGACCTTGACGACGCGAGACATGATCCGAGACGCCACGTTGGGGTCCGCCTCCGTATCCCAGTTGCCGACGTCATAAGTGCCGCCGAGCACGGTGCCTCCGCCCCCGGCACGCTGCATAATGTACAGCTCCTCGCCAGGCCCATCGGCAGACCCCGAGCAAAGAACCATCGGAGTGGACTCGTTGCGTACGAGGGCGGTCTGTCCACGGATGGGGTACAGTGCTGAGTCGCGAACGCCACCCAGCTTGAGCGAGCCCAAGCCTGTCGCGTTGACAATGACCGAGGCGGGCTGCCCTGTGTGGCTCAGCGCCCTGGCTTCCTTGATGTCTTTAATAATGCTGCGCTTGATCACGACGCCATTCTTCAGCAGCTGCCCCACAAGCCACGGCAGGTACACTGCCGTGTTGATACAAACGCCAGTATACTCAGATGCAGAGTCGTATCCGTCCAGCACCTCCGACTGTGGGAGGTCGCGATAGTCTTTAAATAGGTCCCTATACCAAGGGATGTTGCTGAATGCATGCACCGGGAAGCCTGCATTAGTGGCAAGGTCCTGCTCTCGACGATGTATCTGACATTCTCAAGCAGGGAGTCAACCGTAAGTCAACCTGTGTAGCACAGCGACTGGAGACAAGGAGGCCCAGTCATCAGCGATGGATGACTCACTCTGGAAATGAATCCCAGCCTCTGGCACGTCCTCAGCAAGCCGCTTCAGCTCATGCCATGTTTCAGACTCCCACCTTTTGCCGGCATCGTTGGCCAGTCTGACAGAGCACAACGATTAGTGAGAATGCATTACTTGATGCGGAGGATAAATAGTCGGAGGCGCTCACGGAACGATGTTGGCCCCTGCGAATGGCGATGCATACTCGCCGTGGTAGTCACCAGGCATATGTTTCGCCACAACCGTAATCTTGTAGCCCTTCCTCTTTGAAAGCAGGAGAGCCGATGTGAGACCCGAGACGCCAGCTCTGTTTAGAGTTCACCTGTTAGACCGGATGGTGATGAAATTCTGAGAGAAGCCTCACCCAATAACTACAACAATGGTGTCTGTCATCTCTGCTTGTAGACGTGTCAAAGAATAGCACAAAAGCGTGCCTCACAAGGCCCGGAGTGGTGTATTCGTATGAGGATAAATAATGTAAAGCCGATGCACCATCGACACGTACCAAATCGCAGACACCTTCCAAAGACCGTACGCGTCTGTGTAGTGTAGAAGTGGCGCTTGCAGGTGCTTCCGCAAGAGGCTGGCATTTACATGTCCAGCGTCCAGCGTGCAAGCGGGGGACAACAGCACATTTGGAGAAACGCGGGGTGATTACCGAAGTGAAGGCGGACCACGATTCCGAAGTAGCAATGAAGGATCTCAACGCGACATGGGATGGTAGGGGCCGGTCCGTCTCCGATTGGAGAGCGCTCCGGTCATGTAAGTGATGGCGCACCCAACACGAACAACTCCGACACCAAACGGGAAAGCCTCCCCGAGTCGCAAAAGTTGCGGCATCGTATGTTGCTCGGGCGGCGGTAAGTATATGATTGGTATCACTTGATGTTTGTAGAAGACTCTCTATCGCCTACCTGCCTGCCCCCATTCCCTCGGTAAAAAATTGCACCTGCCAAGCCATGAGGTCTAGGCGCACCATCTCGCTCGTATGCTGCCATGCAGAGGGCGAGGTGGGCGACGTCATCATCGGCGGTGTTCTGGACATGCCAGCGACGACAATGCATGAGAAACTCGAGAAGTTCATGGCCAAACACGATGGCCTCCGAAGGCTGTTACTTCACGAACCCAGAGGTCGGCTGGAGTCGAGCGCGATGATCGTTCTGCCGCCATGCGACCCACGGGCCGACGCGGGCTTTCTGATCATGGCCCCCGGAGACTGGGTGCCAATGTCTGGATCCAACACCATCTGCACGACGACTGTGCTGCTCGAGACTGGCATATTGCCCATGACGGAGCCCACGACGACGGTCAGGCTAGACACAGCGGCAGGCCTGATCACGGCCACGGCCGAGTGCGAGAACGGGTCATGCAAATCGGTGTCCTTCGACAACGTTCCCGCATTCGCATACGCGCTAGATATGGAGATTTCAGTGCCAGGAGTCGGGCGCCTTTCCGTTGACATTGCTTACGGTGGTCAGTGGTACGCGGTGGTAGACGCGGAGTCTCTGGGCGTTCGGGTGACCTTGCCTTACAAAACTCAGCTCGTCGAACTGGGGCAGCTGGTGAAGGCGGCAGTTTTGGACCGCTGCATGCCTACGCACCCAGAAAATCCAGCAATCAGGGGGATCAACAACGTCATCATTACCGAGCCCCTGAAGGCGAGCTCCGACGGCCTCTCAGTCAAGCACACTGTAGTCGTCACCCCAGGTAGGCTGGACAGAAGTCCGTGTGGAACCGGGAGCTCGTCGCGATTGGCAATCTTGCATGCAAGGAAGCAAATTGAGGTGGGACAGGTTGTCACATTCAGGAGCATCATCGACACCATGTTTCTGGGGCACATCAAGGCTACGCACCAGGTTGGGTCTTTCGAAGCGGTTGTGCCGAGTGTCAAAGGCAGAGCATGGATTACTGGAGAGAAGCAGATATACGTCGACCCCGATGATCCATTCCAGGAAGGCTTTCAGGTATAGAGTCGTCAACATTGTGATTAATCCCTCACATCCCTTGCATGATTGGAGCTGTTGTCTGTCTCGGCATACAAGCGTGGACTCGAGAGCATGAAGGTACGCGTCTTTCGCCAATTTCCAGTTAGCGGCGTGGTGCGATGTGAGATGTCTCGCGTGGTGACACTCGAAACCGAAGATCAACTTGCCCTCCAACATATATTGACCACGTCTCCTCCATGACCTACGTTGCGCAAGTATGGCAACGTGGCCCGTGGGGACTACACGAATCGGTGGGACTGGTCACAAGCCGGGGTGCTTCAGGCCATCTTTGTTCCCAGGAATCTCGGTTATCCGGGCGGGGCTGTTGGCAGGTTTGGCTCAAGCCCCTGCCTCGAACCCGGTCTCTGTTGATGCGGTGAGGGGTAGAACGGGTCTCAGACAATCTTGGATGCGGCGGCAGCGTTAATATCTGCTATCCAGCGCAATTGGCAGTTTTCCGCGCGGGCTCCTGAGCAAGCTTACCCGATATTAGCGCGAACCATGCATATGTAAACAGCCGATTGGTCTAGACCTAGCGCTGTCATTACTCGTGAGTTGGGTCCTGCAGGCAAGTGACGACGATCACTGATGATGACGCTCTTCAACTACTTGCTCGCACCGGCCCCTCCGATTGCAATCTTGAAATCTGGGGTATTACCCCACAATCGATTCGACAATATGTATAGATAGACTCCACACACCGGCCGCGAGTCTGGGCGTTTTCGAGGCTCACTCAATCTCTGAGCTTCGGACCAGACCCATTCCCCTCTGTTCGGTCTCTCTCCCCTGCTCGGTCAAAATTCTTGCAGCATGGCGAAAGAACTCAAGCCGTCGTCTTCCCATGTAAATGGCGACCCTGAAGACATAGGCTCCGGTGACACTGTGGAAGATGCACAACACGATGCGGTCTTTGGCGACATTAAAGACGACGGCCCCAACTATCGTAATGTATAAATATCCACTTCTGACAGGCGGCGGCGGCAACGAGGTCTGACATGTTTAGGTTGGTTGGCTCGGTACCGCGGGCTTGATGATGAAGACCCAGATTGGTCTGGGTGTCTTGTCGTTCCCGTCTGTATTCGATACGCTCGGCATGGTTCCAGGAGTCATCCTGCTCTGCACCATCGCCGGCATCACTACGTGGTCCAACTATATAGTGGGGGTCTTTAAACTCAACCATCGCCATGTATACGGCGTCGATGACGCTGGCCAGCTGATGTTTGGGCGCATTGGCAAGGAACTATTTGCCATTGCCTTTATGGGCAGTATGTACGCTCCAGACCAGGAGTTCCGAGGGGCCACTGCTAACTATGATCAGTGTACGTAATGACGGCCGGATCAGCTATGTTGAGCATCTCGATTTGCCTCAATGCGCTCTCCAACCACAGAACCTGCACTGCCGTTTTCGTCGCCGTCGCGTTCGTCATGGTGTTCATACTGTCGAGCATTCGAACTCTTGGACGAATTACCTGGCTTGCCATGATTGGAGTCGGAGCCATTATTGTTGCTGGTATGTTTGCTGTTCCTATAAGTTGACAACCGCTGATGTTTTCTCTCAGTCCTTACCGTGACGATCGCCACAGGCGTCCAAGACCGGCCGCCAAGCGCTCCCCGAGACGTTGCTTGGCAATCTGACTATAAACTCTTTGGAAACCCAACCTTTTCCCAGGCCATCTCGGCTGTATCAACCCTCATCTTTGCTTACGCGGGCACGGGGGCCTTCTTCCCGATAGTGTCGGAGATGAGAGACCCTCGTCTCTACCCTCGGGCCTTGGCACTTTGCCAGACAGTCATCACCGTCATATTTTTGGTCGTAGGCATCGTGGTATACTACTACTGTGGCTCCTACGTTGCCTCGCCGGCACTAGGATCCGCCGGCACGACAATCAAAAAGGTCTCGTACGGCATCGCCCTGCCCGGATTGCTCGTCAGCGGCATCCTCCTCGCCCACGTGAGTCATTCTGTATTCTTTCATGGCCTCCGTCTAACTTGCCGCTAGGTATCAAGCAAATACGTCTTTGTCCGAATTCTTCGTGGATCGGATCATCTCACCTCCAACACGATTATCCACTGGGCCACATGGCTGGGCTGTAGCTTCGGCGTCTCCATCGTTGCATATATACTCGCCAGCTCCATTCCCGTGTTCAATGGGATTGTGTCCTTGGCAGGGGCGCTGTTCGGTACCCTGCTATCGTTTCAGCCCATGGGCTGCATGTGGCTGTATGACAACTGGGCCCGCGGCAAGGGGAGCCCGACTTGGCGCTGGCGGCTAATGGTCTGCTGGAGCATATTTGTTATTGTTGCGGGTACCTTTTTGATGATTGCCGGCACTTATGGTGCCATTCTTGGCATCGTAGACTCGTACAAGGCTGAAGGGGGAACGTCTGCTTGGTCATGTGCGGACAACTCCAACTCCAGCTGAGACTGCATGGTTTGACCAGGAACATTCATCGTACTCTAAATTTTCGACTATCATAGAACAGGGCAACAGGTCACACCGTCCGGTACGAGGCTCACATGTTCTGCTTGCTGTTTGCAGGCAATAGTTTGATTCGTGCCAGTGGCAACACTGGGCTTGTCAATGAGATATCGACCTTCGCTCGCCGATCTGAGGCAGCAGGGCATATCGTATATACGTAGGCTAGCACAACTCATTGATGCTGCAGGCGCCTAGGCCAGGCCAAGCAGCTTGGCTTCCACGTCTACTGCCTCGACGATGCCCTGTTCCAACCCCGGTACATGCTCCGGCTTCCAACCTAGGACCTCCTGCCCGCGGCGGGCCCTGCTGCGCGCATTGGTGCCATAGATCACGGTAGCATGAGGTAGGAGCATGTAGGCCTCGCCGCCAAGGACTTGCTCAATTCCTGCTGCTGATGGAATGAAGCCCTTTCCTACCGCAAGCTCTGCAACGCGTTCTGAGAGATGTCGAAAAGTCTGACAAATTGTTAGATGGCAGTAACTGAAGTTAGTCCCGGGGGGGTGAGGTACCGTCTCCTCCAGACCAAGCATATAGAGACCGTTGTCGTTCCAGAGCTGCTCATCGTACTGGCCAGGCTCAGTAGCACTTTCGACGAGTTTAAGCACCAGCCTGCCCAAATCGCGGATGTGGACGCTGCCCCATCGATTCTCGCCCTTGCCAACGACGAGACCCCTCTTTCGCTCGAGAGTTGCTTTGGCCAGCCTGGGGATCTGAATGCTGCGCTGGTTGATGGGACCATGGCCGGTCCCAAAGATGATCGGAGGAAACAGGATGGCGGTGTTGACCTGGGGCGTGTCTTGCGCGACAGAGAGCATATAGTTATCTACTGCACGGGATGGGTGCTTCTGGATCATGTCGCGAATGTCGGCGACGCCGTCAAGATCATCCCATATGGCGTCGCTGGGAGAGCCAGGGACTCGAGACTTATCGGCGAGTTCAGCCGCCGAGACGGCCGTAGCGCCGCTGACCTGAATCCAATAAACTGCGCGAGGCATTAGTTTGATTGCCTGGCTCCATGTCTGTAGCTCTGCGGGCGCGCTGATTACCGGGCCGCCCGTCTGCCGGTCGCTTCTTGAGAGCTTCATGTATTGTCTGTACACTCCTCAAATGTCCAGTGGCAGCCGCATCTGGCCCAGAGTTAGGACTGCCTGTAAGCGCAGGTAGGGAGAGAAAACATACGCACAATAATGTCGGCCTCTGCTGCTTCTTTGATGAGAACGACATCGTCATCCAGGCTACCTTCGACGACTTGGGTGTTGGCAAAGACGCCTGTGAGCGACTGGGCCTTCTTTGAATCTCGAAAGAGGGCTCGGATGGTGTATTCTGGGTGGTATTTGACAAGGTTGTAGAGAATCTCCCCTCCAATAAAGCCAGAAGCACCGGTACTATACCCATATTAGATTCATCGGTTTAGATGCAAGATCGAAGTCATGCGACCAACAGGAATATTCTAGCCATGATACCAACGCAGATGGAACAAATATGTCACTAAAGCCTTTGCTTGCCCAGACCGCGGACTCTGCGCAGGCCACAATGAGGAATCCCTTTTCTAGAAATACTGCTCGCCAACGCAACTGATCGCCATAGACGCCATATGCCAGATCCGGGAAGGAGAACACTGCTTGTCACATGGAAGACTGAGGTCAGCAAGGGATGTGGAGTGCTAGGTTGGCTTCCCCATTTCCCCGCGATACGGACAGGGGTCGACCACTCCACGTAGGACTGATCGCCACCACCCCAGTCCTGATTTGCACAAGCGGGTGTTGGCCCCGAAAGTCGGCCGGGGAAACCTTCCTCAAGAGATATGGGTATTTGCCTGCCCCGTCCGCCGGCGCGACGCCCAAGCCACTCGGCTACGACAGACCCTATCGCCATGGACTCGGGGTAAATCCGTGCGAGCTGCCGGACCGGCTTGAACTTCTTCATCGCAAGCATAGCCAAGACACGTCATGATTCGACCGCATCATTGAAGCAACTTGGCAGGGGACCGTGTCACCAAAGCAGATCAGCACGGCAGGCCTATGCTGTCACACGGCGCCCTCTTGAAAGGAACCAGAACCGAGCCCCTCCTGCTGCATCTCAGCTGCCCACTTTGTCGGTGACGCATCGCACAGCCCTTCGCTATGGGCAAAAGACGGAAAGGAAAGATTTACTCGCCCGCGTCTCTGCGAGATAAACCGCGGTCAAGGGGCTTCACCGGCTGTGGAACTTGCAGGAGCCGCCATCTCAAGTGCGATGAGGCAAAGCCGACTTGCTCTACCTGTCGTCGCCTCGACCTACCCTGTCAGGGATATGCCCCCCGGTTGCTCTGGATAGCTTCACAGCAGTGCGGCGGGGACTTGGAGGGACCCAAGGGCGAGGCAAGCTCATTTCGATATCCCCTCTTCACTGAGGCGCACAGGTCCTCTATGAGCTTCGACATGGTGCAGAGCCTTGGAGATCAATCAGCCGGAGAGATCTTGCTCGACCTGGACACGGAGTCTGTGTCAGATGACGAGCTGCACGCGGTCGGTCCTTTTGGTGTCTTCAGGGCATGTGATGGCCCCTCTTCTTTACGACTCTCTACTAGCTCACCAAGTGATGACAACGAGGAGGATGTCGAAGATGTCTCCCTGGATCTTCTTCAAGCCAAAGATCTATCACCATTCCCGGCCGACTTCTTTGCGCATCTAGCCCAGGATCAGCCGTCCCCCTCCTTTGGCGCAGATCTCGGAGGACCCGAAAAGTGGTTGAACATTGGCATGGCTATGAACATGCCCTGGGACAGCAGTGCCCAAGGTATCGTGCCTGACGGCTTCAGCATGCAGTTACTTTCGCCATGCTTAGACTCACCGGACAACGACGTGATGGAGGCAGTTCCGAGGTCCGAGTCGTCGCAAGTTCCAACTACGCAACCTGATACAAGACTCTCGGACGTTGACTCCATTTTACCTTCAGCTGACCTCAACTCCAGCAATCATGCGTCTTCCGCTCTCAGTACATTCTCTCCTCCAATCAATTGTGTTCCCAGAAGCGGAACTTCGCTGCCACAACACGCTGCCTCCTTGCTGAGGTACCTCAAAACCAAGGTGTTTGAGGACAGGAAGTCGATGTCGACCCGTAGCATGTCTCCGTGGAAACTGTTGCTGTTGCCTTGCGCCCTGGAAACATTCGCCGAGGTGTCCCTTTGGGACTCCACGACGCATGCCCGCCGCAGCATTCTCTCAACTCTCTTGGCGAAGAGCGCCTTCCATCTCAGCAAGTCTACAGCGCACGACGAGTCGACAGCCTCTTTCTGGCTCAAAGTAGGCGTTGATCACCACCACGATGCACAAAAGCACCTCAAGTCTGCGTTGAAGGGTGAACTCGGGATGAATGCCAACTACGCAGAAATGCTCATGGCGATCTTGGGAGTTGGCATAGTTTCTGTATGTGTGTTGCAATGCCACTCAGGGGCTCTGGCTAACCGACACGGGTACACAGGTATACTATCACGGCGCGCGAGTCGTGAAGCAGTTGCTGTTGGATGCAGAGTATCTCATCCGCTCGCAAGGGCTACCTGCGACGAAGACCTTTGCACACCGAGTCCTGCACCATCTGTACACGCATTTACGAGTCATTATGGAGAGTACGAGCATTATGTCAAAGTCCGTGGCCTCGAAGGATGGAGAGCAATGGAGGTTGGCGTCTCAGCTGGTTCAGACACCGATGCCGAGCCAGTTTCGCGTCAACGCGCAGAATCTAGGTAAACTGGATTCAACACATCCGAAACCGGAGGACGTCGGCTACAACGACATTCATCTGGATGTGTCTGGCATATGGCAAGCCACGCTATACCCAGAAATCTTTGGCGTGCCAGAGACACTCATGACACTGCTATCTCAGACAATCAGTCTCGTCAACGAAAGACCACGCTTGCAAGCGGCTAGCCTGAACAATCCCATGGTTTCAGCTGCTCTGTCTCAACACATCAAGACTCTGGAGCAACAAATCTGGTCCTGGAGCCTCCAAAGATCGAATGCTCCTTTTGGACCGAGACCGCCACAGTTTCTACTGGACGAGGCCGAAGCTCCTGTTAATAGACAACAGGCGGAATCGATGATCCTGTCGATGCACCAAGCCTTGATCATCTTCTTCTATCGTCGAGTCTACAATATCAGTGCCATGGTCATACAGGATCAAGTCAAAAAGACTCTCGAGTTCGTCCAGCCATGCCTCGAGATGGAACGGTTCGATGCGGATTTCTCCGTCAGCATCAGCTGGTCGACATTCATTGCTGCTGCAGAGGCGGCCACCCCTGATCTCCAGGAGCTTGGACTGCGGTGCCTCGAAGCAGTCGATGACCGTGGAATGTTTATTGAGCGCGGCAAGCCGAGTGCGATGGCCAAGGCTGTTTGGGAACATAGACGCAGGACCAACGACTTCTCATACGGATGGCCGGACATGATGGCAGTGTGGAACCCTCAGCTTCGTTGCTCAGCCTAGGAGCAGGGTAAATCACGGCAGAGCCGGCCCAGTGAATATTCTTGGAGACAGAATCGCTGGCCATTGACATTTGCGGGAATCAACGTCTTTTCACGCACTCTTTTGTATCACTAAGCAAATCTTGAACAAGCCTGCCGCATTGGGTGTCATTTGGGTGTCCCTAGAGACCAGGGAAGCCATTCCCTCTGTCGTGCTTGGCCATGAAGACTCTCAGACTCGTCATCCCAACAGTCTCGTATGCTGGGTTCAATGTTTCCAATGTCGAATCCCGCCTCTGACATTATGGTGGCAACACCATTGCGATCATTCTTCGATACTGATGCCCGCAGCCTTGAGAGCAGCGGCAAGCTTCGACCGCCCGTCGCTGTTTGTCATGGCAAAAGGTTTCCTCATGCCACCATTTTGCCAACCACGTAGCTCCATTGCCGTCTTGACCGCAGCTGCATAATTTCCCGATTCAAGTAGCTTGCAGATAGGAAAAATCTTTTTCCAGATCTCGCGACCCTCCTTGAGATCACCGCGAACGGCAACGGCGTCCCATAGCTGCATGGACAGCTCTGGCAGTACGTTGGTGGCTCCCCAGACAGAGCCCTTGGCACCGGCCGCAATGCCGTAAAAGGTCAAGGTATCCCAGCCGTTGAAGACGGTGATCTTGGATGAAATCTCGTCGTTGAATATCATGTCTGTCAGGGCGGATGCGTTGCCGGACGTGTCCTTGAGGTATCGCACCCCGACATCGCTGAGAGAGGCAATCTCGACAGGCGTAAGGCTGAGGCCGGTGGCGGAAGGGATATTGTAGTAAACAATCGGCAGACCGGAAGCCTTGTGGATGTCTGAGAGATGCGCCTTGAGTTCCGCCAGGGTGGGAGCATCATAGAACGGAGGAACGACCATGAGCGAGTCCGCACCAACTTCAGCGGCATGCCTGGCGAGCTCGATGGTCTTTGCTGTCGAAAGGTCGCCAATGCCGGCCATGACACCCACGCGGCCCTTTGCTGACTTCACAACGGCTTCAACAAGCTGTTTGCGCTCTTCGGTGGTGAGGGCTGTGAACTCGCCGGTGCTCCCACCGGGCACGAGGCCGTGCACGCCAGCATTGATGAGGCGGTTGATGTGCTGGTCTAGAGCCTGGAAATCTATTGGCCCTTGGTCACTTGTGAAAGGAGTGATGAGAGCCACGTAGATGCCCTGGATCTCCTTTCCCATGTTGATATGTGCTCAAGAGTCCTGGGCCCAGGGGGTGTTTAGAGTGACGAAATGAGTAGTGTCGATTGGGATAAAGGGGTCCAGCGTTCAATGGTGGAGGAAAATGACTTGAACCGCGAGGTAGTGTCGTTGGTGTTGCATGTTCGATACTTTAATGATTGATGCTCATAACATGCTCGCGGATACCTTCCTCTTGGGTTGCAACCTGCCCCTCCCATTGATAGTCGCATGCGCACGCCCCACCACCGGCGACACCAGCTTTCCAAATAGGGAACTCTTCTTGCTGTTGTGCTTCCAGCCCCCCGCGATGAGTGGGCGAGCATGACGAGGTAGATTCCAATCGAGAACCTCCGATGCGACGAGCTCGGTTGTACTGCGTATGCTGTGCAACGTGTGTACCCTTTTCCTGGGCACATCGGCATCGACTACCTGCTTAACAGTGCTGCGAATACTGCACGATGTAGCCGGTCTTCGGACCTGGGAATAGTGAAACTCTATGGAAGCCAACATTGAAGTCTCACGTTGGCAAGTCGCTACCTACCGCCAAAAGGTGTAGAGGGCAATTGCTTAGAGCCCGCGATCATTGACAGCGCCTACCTGTAATCGGGCTCAGCTTCTATATTCTGAAGCGTGGCGCAGGCCTGCCGCGCCGCGATGGAATGTTGGATGACGGGGCTTCTCGGATTCCTGTCATGAATCATGATGCCTTGAAAAACCCAGGCAATGGCACGCCAAGAGCCAGGCAGTGATTGCAACGGAAATGCCAAGTACCCTTGGCTTTTCACACTCATGTCAGCATATGCATGCGGTCTGTGGATCGTCTTGGTTGATATGCCTTTAGCTCATGCTCCCGTCACTGGTTTCTCCGGTTTCTCCATATTAAGGGGTGACACATTTTAGCCGTATAACGGCGTTGTGAGCCGTGGCCTCTGCCGGCACGGAGATCCGTCCTCAGGGGTAAGCAGATGAATGACGGGGCAGCTGTGCAGGTCTTTGGCCTGCCACGATGACAAATGTTCAGTCAAGGATGTAGAAGCAGCTAGATTTGACCTTGCTTTGGCAGTCGCCAGAACTCAGTGCAAGAAGCGACCTCAGACGCTGTCCGCGTTCCAAGATAAATATCGCATGCACTGCCTGGCAGTGCACTGCAGAAGATCCCAGTGCGCAGCATGAGACTCCATGGCCACCACCAGCAGGGGAGAGGAACCACACGAATGCTGGTGCAACTAAGAAATGGCCTGATGCATCGCATAGAATGCAAAAGTCTATTCATCATGCTCTGTGCGTACGAATTGCCAGTCGAGCCGTGAGGCCCCTTGGCGTTGGACCTTGACAGCCGGCAACACGTGTCATGCTCCTGGGGAGCAGGGAGCGACGTCATGCACCCCTGGTGCTTGAGTCTCCAGCTATGCAATGACGTCGGACAAGAAGCCCGACTCCTCGATGCTGCGAACTCGCGAGTCAGCTTTGCACCACTCTGGGGTTTATTATCGCAATGCGCATGAGGACATGCCAACCGCTATCAATGCAAAAGCGAAATCTATCGTCTGTCACTCGTCGTACTGAGCGTAGGAGATGACGGCTTCACTATAAAGGTACAAACCCACTACTCGACGACGGTAGAACTTTGCCAGCGTCACATCTTTTAAACATCACTGAAATCGAGCAACATTTTCCACTGCACTAGACACTATGAAGGCTTCAGTCACCAGCCTCGCACTGGCGTGTGGCCTAGTCATTGCTGCTCCAGCTGACACCCAGAGCAAATGGGTTCGTGTTTCCATGAGCGCCAGAGACTTGAGATTGTGGCAATTTACCTAATGGTGGTTCTTAGGCCGGCACCCAGATGGACCTCGAGAACAAGCTGCCATGGGACACGCCCTACTCGTGTCAGCGCCTTGGTAACGTATTGCGCCTTTTCAGGAGCCGAACTGTCTCATGACATTCACTGATGCGCCCGGTAGAGCGATGGGTTTCCTGTGGAATGCCGCATCCAGGAAAACGGCAACTCTCCTGGTGTGAGTAATCCACCTCATGCTGTCCAGACAGCAAACGAAACCCCATGTCCTTATCCTGAGCTCCAGAAATGGACACGCATCTTGTAATTGCCACTTGGCTAACCCTACAATGATGCAGCCTAGCGAACAGACCCTCACCTGGGCCTGTGGAGGAGAACACGGGGTACGCCCTTTGCCTCGCAGCGGCACTTCATGGGCAGAATCTGACACGGCATATAGTGCGACTACTGCCAACAGAAGCCTGGATCGGAGGTCTGTGATCATGTCGCGTTATCGAAGGTATATCCTTTGGCATACTGATGTGGTGCAGACTACTTTTATGTGCAACGACTCGCCCGAGCTAGCGACGTACCGAAAGACGATGCCAGATGAATGCTTCCAGCAGGACGGCGTCGTTGCGAATTGCAAGCAGGTGTACGACGACTGCCTCGCACAAAAGATGAAGGAGGACAAGCCGGACGAAATAGAGCAGTGCATCAAGAGCACGTTCGAGGAGGGCGACAAACCACTGTTCCCGGGCGAAGGGAAGCGCCCGAGCGCTCACTACAGCCGGCCCGGTCAAACGAGTCAAGCGAGTCAGGCGCCATGGCAGAAGTGCCTGGCCAATGCAAAGGATCAGGCTGCCAAAGCGAAGTGCTTCATCGACAGGGAGAACGAGTTTTGTGGTGGCTTGGAGTCGGACAAGACTGGCTGCTCCAACGCCATCAGGTCGTGCCATTACGACCTGTACAGGAAGACCGGCAGCACGAAGAAGCCGGCCGAAGATGGACAGAAACAATGGGACAACATCGTTGCCTGCGCAAAGGACCGCCTCGCTCAGACCCCTAGTGCGGCTGAGCCCCCTGAAGATGTAAGTCAGAGCGAGCCTCGGCGCCGTTCAGTCTCGTCTCAGCAGTCGTGATGTTCCTAACGCAGCTCATTCAGAAGCCAAAGACTCCAGCAGCCGCGCCCGTCGACTGCCACAAAAGTGGCCGCGTGGCGATGACCCGGTGCAGTGAAAAATTCGGCTTCGCAGCTTGCGAGCCAAAGATCACTGCTAAAGTCAAGGAATGCCTCGAGTCCCAGCAGTAAGGAGTTGTACGTTTCGGCCCCTCAGGGCGGCTCCATGTCCGCGCTGCTCGCCTCACTGATGCCGCACGAGTTGAGCGGGGTGGAGACGCAGGCTCCGATGAGAGTATCAGTGTACTTAAGTAGAGCCCCCTCCGCATTTACGTAACGGCATTGGGAAAACCCTGTGGGAAAACCAGTGCCGAGGGGGAAACAGATTCTGGAACTCATGGCCATGACCCCATACACCCAGATCGCCTCACGCAAAGTGACCCAGAACGAAACAGAAGAAAGACCATTGCACCGAGGCCGTTGCATATCTAGGAATGATGCTGCGTGCTCACCGTAAGGTTATGAGGGAGCTTAAGCGGTCCCCTCGCGGTCAGCAAGTTCCTCCTCCGTCGGGCCCGCGAATCTAGCCTTGCAGTAATTCTTGACGCAACGCAGCACGACCTTGGGATCGACATCATTTTTCTGGAGGATCCGACCCAGCGAATTCGGGCCCAGAAGACACTCCATAAGCCTGCACAGATCTTCGTCCCGCCTCCCGGTGGATGGGCCACTCGTCGGCGGCGAGCTGTTGCCACCGGGAATTGCCGTGGCAGACAGCAGATGCTCGCGCGTGAACGGAAGCCCGCGCATCGTGACGCCGGAGGCCAGCACGCGGACGCGGTACACACCGGGCACGCTCGCCGTGGCGGTTGCCAGGAATCGGCCCGGCTCGACCTCCGACATGGTATGAGCCATCCGGCCGCCATCCGGCTGCTCCACAACCGCGCCCACTCTGGCACGGTGGGATACTGGGAGGCCGTACTCTGTCAGCGTCGCCGAGATGGCGAGTGTGGCCCCGGGTTCAAGGTGGTTCTGCTCGAGACGGGCTTTCATCCGGATGTTCGTGAACGACTGGACGCTGAAACTGTAACGGATTCCGCGACTGGCGCTCGCCCGAGCGCTCTTGCTCTCGCCCTCTCCCTCAGCCGAGACAACGGATGGTTCGTCGCGGGGCCCTTCGCCGTCATCATTCACCTGGAGGACGGCGTGCCACGTGCCCGCCCGGGCAGGCGTCCCGCCAACGGCTAACGGGAGCGTAAATCGGTAGTAGCTCATGTTCGTACCGAGCCCAAACGTCGCCCCGAGGCCGCTAGCCGACCCGGGCGTCATCACCTTCCCCAAGGGCGTTTCAATGTAGAAATTGATGCCACGGGTGTCAGTCAAGAGGATCGTGGTAGCATCGATATCCCCTTCGGTCAATTGGAAGGGTATGCGGACTTTCATGCCTGGGAAGATTGTCCCGTTCGGGTCGGTCACGATGCTATTGTTAGTGACGCCGGCCAGCACCTGCATGAAGTACTTCTGGAGACGGAAATAATCGTCGATGGAAGGGCTGAGCGGTCCGCTGAGTAGAAGATAGCCGCCGGTCTGGCTCGTGATCGCGTTGAGCGCTGCGGCGCTGACCTGTTGGGCTGTGCCGAGACCAATGGCGAAGGTCTGCGCGTTCAGGCTGGTGCTGACGTCCGCGATGAAAGAGGGGGTGTTCTCTAGCCCGTCGGTGAACACAACCATTGCCTTGTTCGCAAACCCGCTCACTGCGTTGAGCTTGGTCCTGCCCAGCACGATGCCATTCCCGATCGATGTTGCACCCTGAGGCTTCAGGCTCTCGATGGCGTCGACCATGATACCCAATCTCGGATCCGTCGGCTGGCCGGTGAGTGTGGCTACATCAAACCCCTCATAGGCTGTCTGGTCGAAGCTCACCATGCCCACAGCGTTGTTGGCCTGCACAAGTTGACAAAAGTTTGCTGCGGCTCGATGCAGAACGTCGATCCGCTTGGTGGTGGCGTCAGTGCCGGCAAGCCAGCCCATGCTGCCCGACTGATCGAGGACGAGCATCACTGCGGTTGTTGGCCGTGGTATGGTATTTCCATGAATGGTGAAGACAAACTCCTCCCCGGTCTCGACGCAGGCGATCGTCACGGATCCGTTAGGTGCTGCCCCAGGAGCAGAACCAGTAAACTGGAACCAGATTCGCGCCACCTGCGGCCGATGCTGATTACCATTCACGATAACGGTGTCCCCTGGGGGACTCATGACAGTATACGGGGCCGTAGGTCCCGTCTTCACCTTTAGTGTGACTATGCCGCAGGCGAATATCTCGAAGGCGGCGGCACGGGACGCGGTCTCGCCCTGAGGGACATCGTTGAAGTTGATGTCGCTACCGGGATTCTCTGTCTCGATAACGCGCGCGACTGTCGGCAACGTATCGTAGCACGGCGGCGCGACGACAGAGATGTGATGGTAGTCGTGCGGAAAGCCCTGATTTTCATGGATTGGCTCCCAGGGGCGGATGTCGTGGAATTGGCCGTGGCCAGTACTCCAGGGCTCAACTTGGTTGGCCAGGTTCTGGACCGAGGTGACTCCTACCGCATTGACGTTGACGGCCATGTCAGACTCAGCCCCGTAAACGGTTGCTGGATCTAGTCGTTCTGGATGCGCCGGATCGCACTGCCACGTGGCGAAGACCCGGTCGACGTTTGAATGAACAAGGAAGACGAACGGGTCACGGAAGGCGTCGTGTGGGCTGATATTGGCGAAGTATACATGTGCCCTGTTGTGGATGTCTTCCCAGGCTGTTCGGAAAAAGTTGGCCTTGATGCTCCGGAAACTGGCATCCCTCTCGTCGTTCTGGGCGATTGCTGGGCCAAAGTTCTGAAGACCGAGGACACGGGTCTCCTCAGCCGCCGTCATGAATGGCCTCGGCGGTGGTCCCCCGTAGGTGTTGGGCCGCGTCACATTCCTCGGAGGGTCAGCCGGGTTCAGACTGGTTTCTCGATCTCTTGGATGGCCAGGGGTACCGGCTTGCGGATCGTAAAACCCTGCCGAAAGCCAAGGCTCTCCTATCGAACCCTCTGGAGACCCCATAAAGTCAGCGTCGAAGAGGTTAACAGGACCGCGAGTCCCGGCCCCCAGGTTCCCATTGGGGATGCTGCGAGGGTCTTCCTTGAAATCCCAGTAGTGTAGTGACAACTGAGGGTTGATCTCGCGGAGGAGGGCCTCAAAGCGGTTGGCGAGCTCTCGATGCCATGGCAGGAACTCGGGACCACCATGGACATGGGTGGATTGATGGATCTCGTCTTGTTTGAACCACCAGCTAACTCCTCCTGGCGGCGTCTCACTAGAAGAGCCTGGATAGAACCGCCGGTTAAGCTCCTTGATCGCGTCGCGCAGGAGAGCGCGTTCGGAGGGGTCAACGTGGGCGATGTTCCGCCTAATTCCATCTCCTAGGGTCATGTTGGTTTCGTCCAGTTTTGGTGAGAATGTCAGACTGAGAGAATATGTGATTTTTATTCCAATCGAAGCGGTTGCGTGTAGTTCTAAAGGTATACATTTGATCTCAATCAAGGTGGCCGAGAACCACGGCGGCATTTTCCGTTTGGGTCGAGGTGTATCAGATGTCAGTTGCTCTTCATGCAAGCCATCAGGGATTTGTCCCCCCATTTGATAGGGCTTTTCTCAGCCGCAACTTATGCAGACTAGGAATGCGGCATTTGCCGAGTTCAACATCTTCAGCAGACTCATGAGGCTACAGTCGGTCTTTGCACTTCAGTGTGTGGATTGGTTTCATATCAAAACCTTCAGCGGAGAGTACCCGTGATTCGCCGGACCTTGTTACTGCATCACTGGTCTTGTGATATCGACCCAGAAGTCATGGCCTGATTTTGCCTGTTATCTATATCGGAACAGCTGACTTGTCGAGGGACAAGAAGGCTTAAAACTGCATCACAATAACAATGTGTTCATCCGATTATGTGCCTAAGGCTCCACGGCTTATGCGCCTCCGTTATCCCGAAGGCCCAAGCCTTAGCTGGATTCGTCGAGTTACAAGCAACGCTTGGCACAGTACAGTAGGATAGGTACCATGACAATACCGATACCCCCGGAAACGGCCACCTTCCTGAGTTAGAAAGCATTGAAGAATTGGGACCCCTGAAAAGGTTCATTTTCGTCACCCCCGTTAGAACACAACAGCCAAACAAACATATGTAAGCACAACCTATGAACGGTAGGAGAAATTCGCTAAAGTGTTCGAGGGAATGATCCGAGATTTCATCTGTTCTATCTCCCACAGAGCGGGATCGGCTGGAAATGTCAGGGCCATTATACGGCTGCCAAGTCGGAATGTTCCGACCACGCGTTGTCCTACGGCAGATCTTTCTATTGTCCCGGCACTGAGATTAAGGTTCGCTAGTTAACGGTGAGGCTGAGACAAAAATAAGCCATGGTAAACAACTCTTCGGCGCCTTGTCGCTCTCAGCCCATGCATAGGGCTGGTGCTGGGCCACCGCGCATAAGCCACCGAATGACTTACACATTTCTGCATCGCCACTTTGAACAATCGGCATCAGGATATTGACGCTCGATATTCAGACGTTTGCGACGAGAACACAGTCCGCCCTCCTGCGATTTACGCGACCGTGCTGCACAAAAGTCACAGGCTGTACTGCATGCACTGCATGTAGTGCGCAGTAATTTCGCACTCTTTTGCCCGTGCGCCTGCGATATCTGGAGCCAAATCTACGGTGGGCGATTGGGGAATCCGAAGTAACTGTCGTCAAATACCGCTGGCCCCGTGGGCGTCACTTTCCCTGTTTGGAATATTGACACTTGTTGAGTGGCCGTGAGGTGGTCGCCATTCCTTATGCAGACTCTTGCATGCTGGATGGTGCTCTGTCACACTGCTTCTGTTCTGCCATCGTCATCGACGAAGGCTGGGCCGGGCGGTAGGGGCTGGAATTGGGAGGTGGTGGCGCGCATCGCCTTGAGCAGCTCACTAGGAATTGATGTTGGAATCAGCGGAGTCGTTGAGATACCGACACAGGCGCATGGATCCTCGATGCTTTAAGCGATTTTCTTTCACTTCTAGTTTGAGAAGACAACAGAATCTTCCAGGGCTATTGTCATCAGTGTTATCATCAGTGCTAGTGCTATTGTCATCTCTAGTGGTGTTGTCATCCTATACTCAGCTCGGGTAAGACTAAACATGGAATTTGTCCCGAGCCCTCCGGCAGGTCGGATGGGATTAGTCTGCCCCCGGCCCTTCCGGCATTCTATTCTCACGGATTAAAATCTTAAATAGCACGTTTTGCCTTCTCTAGATTCGGCGAGCCTGAGGATGGCCGGCCTGACCCGGTTCCATCACAGAAAATGGGGCCACAACTACAGAATACTACGACCGAAAAGACTCTATATAAAGGCTCTTGCCACTGCGGCCTTATCTCATATACCGTTCGCATTGATCTCGCCGCGCCAGCACCAGGGAACAAGTTCATCCTAAGCCGGTGTAACTGCAGCTACTGCGTGAAGGCTGGCTCGCTGCTGGCCGTTCCCGTTGAAGGGTCATTCACCCTTCTGACGCCTACGGGGGGAGAAGGTGCCTTGACTAAGTACCGTTTTGGACATCAAATTGTCAATCATCCTTTCTGTCCTCGCTGTGGTATTGCGACGCACTTGGGCCCTTCTAGCCACGACGCAGTTACACGGATCAACGTATTAACGTTGGATGGACGCGTGGATGGCAGGCCGATGGAGCACCTGCGGGATGTAAAAGTGAAGTATTGGGATGGCAAACTTGGCATGGGACTGAACCTTGGTGACGAACCCAGGGAGGGAGGCGTATGGTAACTAAAATATAGCAAAACGCCAACGTTCCCCGCTGGCTTGCGGCTCCAACCGAACGTTGATCTTATCTGCCTGGGCACAAGAGGGTGCATCCGTGGATACGCCACACCCGTGTTTACGATAACTGCGAGTAGATGTACTCCCAAAGACTGACGCCACGTACTTCCTCGCCGAACCGACGTTTCGCTCCACTGAGCCGACAAATAGCCAAACCCCCAACGTGATGCAGGCACCTACCTGCCTAGCCGATTATGAGCCCCGGCCCAATCATGCAGGCTCCGCAGACTGGAACGTACACTCCAACGTGCGATGGGACTACTCATCATTCAGTGAGTGAGTTGCCCTTGCTTACCTCGCGCGTATGCCTGTGGCATGTCTAGTGTCATGTCGGTAGAAGCAAGGCGTTGAGAAGTATCTATTGATATGTGTTCCATCGATAATTCTCTAAGCGTAAAGTCACGCTGTGTCGTGATCCCAACCTGCACGTGGGCAGGCGCCAACTCGCATTCGAGCACCAGCAGGCAGACTACATAACCTTTGCGCCACCAAGGCACCCAACCTTCCACAAGGCAGAACTTGAGGCGGGATGATCCGTAGAGACGGTCTGACAAAATATTCTCCTCCCTGTGAAGTTGTATCAGCAACGTAACGCGGCTTCCAAGGACGTTGCTCGCATTGACCCTACACCGCGAATCTCATGCCATCTCGGGTTGTGTTTGCGTCACCTCTTGCTCGTACCTGGATGCTCTGCGAAGCAATGCCTCAGAAAGAACTTGAGGGCTCTAGGGACTTCCCTCCGGGCGTAATAAAATCCGCCCATCCAAAATGCGGCTGAAGGATATGGCGTGCATAGCCACGCATGGATGTCACAAGCATTTCTTGATGTTAAAAGGGCCGCAGGCAGGGGTTACACGGATTCAGCTTGACTTGTGGCTAAGACCAAGTGGCGACCCGATACAGCACAACACTTCTATAATTATCAATGCCGGTGGTGTGATAGTATAACAGGCTCCTACACGAGGATGCCACCTCGGAAGCACGGCATCCATCCTCGTTGTCGCGCCGGCGACATCGATTGGATGGGGGGTATGCCCTACCCCGCCCTCTCGCTCAAAGATGTGGCTGCCACGCCCAATTACCCCCACGAATGGCTCCTGATGAGGGTGCATGTCCGACTACGAACTTCAGGCGTGATGCATGGAGCAGCGCCAAGGTAGATTTCAAGCCAGGACGACGGTTCACGGTAGTTTAACTTCAGAGTTGCCATCGGGAGCCACTCACTTAGCAAGACATCCTCGGCTTACTTCACTTCCATAGTGACAAAGGCAGAGGAGCCCGTAACACCGACAAACGCCGGACGGCTACCGCAGGGCAGCACTCTCCCCTAGCAGGTTGGCGCGCTCGGATCCCCCTGCTTTCACCAGCTCCCTTTGCCTGACTTTTCGAGTGAGGTTGAAGACAGTCCTGTCTAATTCTCGGCCATGGTTGTTGCCATGTCCGGTGAAGGTAGCAGATTACCGAGGCCTGTTCCATGTTCGCTAGTCAGAAGTCTTCCTTCGAGGGCCTGACGCCTGAGTTCGAGATCCAGCTCCTTGAATAATTTGAGGCACATGGAGAGCTGTCGGCTGTAGTCAGGAAAAGATGAACCGAGCACGAGCTGGCTGTGTGGCCGTCCAGAACGCGTGACACATCTTGTTATGAGCGTAATATGGAGCTAATGAATGTGTCCGATATAGAGCCAACGAATGAATGTGGGTGATAAGTTAATGCTCCATGTCGTGCAGGGGTTCAATGGTCCCCCGCGTTTCGGGAAAACAAAGACTCAATACTAAGACTGGCCAATTTCCAAGTGACCGATACCAGGAGGCAAAAAAGAGAGAATTCGAGAGGACATATACAAATGACTTGTATTTCCAAACCATATTCCCTACAGCGCGCACGCAAGGAACCCGGCGGCGACGAAGCCTACGATAACGGCAGCTGTGCCTCCTGAACCCCAAAAGTTCAAGCTGGTCGCTCCTCCGACTGTAGGTGTAGGAGATGCGGGAGTCGCAGTTGTACCGGTAGGAGTAGTAGGCGCCGTAGTAACACTAGCCCCGGTGGGTAGTGTGGTAGTAGTGGCTGTTGAAGCATGGCTGAGCGTGGTTTGGCCAGTAGAGGATGTCGCTCCAGCAGCAGGAACCTGGACGAAGGAATGTTAACATATACACCTCATGGTTATCACGTCCGCCATTACGCCCCGAAAGTTCATATACTGACCTTTGTGGCCGACTGGGTCAACGGAACGGGGACGTTGGAAGGAACACAGCTGCCGACCGCCGCCGCGACTTTAATGCCCACCTGGTTTGGCAGACAGCAAAAATACCCAGTATTGGATTTCCAAAGAACCCAGCCGTCAGCGGCGCAAGCCGGCGCGGCATTGACAGCAGCAACACAGTTATTAACTGTTGATAGGCGACGACTGTGTCAGTGTCTCTTCCGCCTACTGAAAGCATTCAAGTAGGCACAGATTCGGTCTACTCACCCGTTGGGCAGCAAGCAAAGCCAGCGTTGCCAGCGCCAGCGTCCCGGCAGGCGGTATTAGCAGGACAACACCTCCCCCTTATCTTACACTTGGTCAGGTCAGCCGGGCAAGGGTCGGCGATGAGGGCGAATCCGCCGAATGAAGGGGCTCGTTCGACAAGGAGTTCCGCGGCAGGGAAGGCCAGATCAGCAAGGCATGTTGCGGTACAAGACAAAATAATGACACAGAACACCAGCATGTTGCAAGTATGACGACGAGAGACGAGATGTCGACCTGGACGACTCAATAGCTAACGACGTATTTGTATTTTTGCAAAAGAAACGCAGTTAAGCTTCGAGACGAGCCAAGATTGAAGAGACAGGTCGACCAGATGAAACGCGGGACTTCTGTGTAATTAATGAAAAGGCAGCGCCGGAATGTTCCATTCCACATACACGCACTGCCCATTCAGGGTGACAGCCTTCGAGGCAAGTCTACGAGACCCTGGCAAGACGACCCTGGTGGTTTTTCAGCAGTGACATCACGGCACCTTACCACTGGCTGGATGGTGTGTGGCGGTTGATGGCATAACGCGTCGGCAAACTCCGTTTCCCCCGCAACCCCTTTCTTCCAGGGGAACAAACCTGCGGGCGTAAATACGAACCTCGCATTTCAGCTGGAGGGATAGGCCCTGTCAGACCATGTACAGTTGCTCGTCGACTTGCAACATTCCCTCCGAGAGTCGTATTGTCGCTGCCGCCATGTCCGGCGAGCCAATGGCAGGCTGCTCTGCCTCTAATTCAGTTCTTACCCAGAGCATGCTGCGGACCGTCCATCCCCCTTCGCTTTATGTCGTTAGTACTAATGCACATTTATATATACTGCCCATTTAGCAATAGCGTTTTTAATACATGGAGGTCATTCTATTCGGCGTAAGAGCGCGAAATGTCGAGTGAAAATACATCTTGTTAGTCAGTGCTTATTAACTGTGATAAATTGCCTGATCAATTGGTGTGACGCCCTCATCGACGTGGTGGCAGCCTGAGCCAGTTGAACTTGGGTATGGAGCGTACGACATCACGGTCACCTGGATATTTCAATACCTTGGTGGTGCCATTCGGTATTCGTAGTAAGATCAAGGTAATTCTGTCATTATACGTACTTTTCTTTTGTTTTGTGTGTTATCACGGACATTGGCCCCTAACCTCCGACTTGTTATCAATTGATGGAAACGGGTGGGGTACGTGAACTGCCATCCTACGGCACAGGGCTGAGGATGAAACAGCAGTTTGCAGGTTGCCGTCTGAACTACCTTTGTTAAAGAAGCAAGTCCTCATTCTGTATGAGCCTTCCATCCCAAACGTGTCACGCGCGGGTGGCCTGCCCGCAGCTATATGGGCCTCGTCATTGCATCTTTCACATTTGGACCATTAAATTACTTGCCGCGCGCATTAGTAGCATCGCGTGCAACTGGCGCGGAAGAGGTAACGGCGCGTACAGCGTACGGGGGCATCATGATGGCGCCGCAGCGGCTACAGCCCTTGGCGCTGCCGGCAGCGTAGTACAGATATCGTAGCCTGGCAGCCGCGATGACTTCACCTACCGCAGCAGCTGGCTCCACTCGACTGCCGCTGCAGGCCTGAAGGTCTGGCGAGTCGATGCGACACTGTGTGGCTCCGCTTCGGTGAGGATCTCATATGTCTTCAGCAAGTGCTGTACGCCTTGGCAGCCGCACTCTCATGCCATTGTCAACTTTGTTCGGCTCCGCTGCTCGCATTCGTTACCATGTCCGCTCCAATCCACATTTTCACGTCGCACATCACCACCACGATACGAGGGGCGGTTCGCAACATCTGGCCTTGCGGCGGGCCCATGCGACGTGGTTACACGCAACGGCGCCACGCTTCGTCGTACCGAAATTCAAAGGGTATTAGCATACTTCTTATAGGAATGAAAGACTTCGAGTTGCGGAATCCATGCAATGCAAGGCCGAACCAGGCAAGAGGGTGCATTGGCAATGGGTCATCTGCCGCCATCTCCCCTTCAGCAATCCAGTAACGGCATGGGAAGACATACGCAGCTTTAATGCTGAAAGCTCGCGAATTGAGCCTTTCTCGGCGGTGCTTGCTGCCCCGTTCGCGCGCATGAGAACAACACACACTGCCCTAGCCCATGCTGCCTTGGCGTCTGATATGGAGGATGCGCGCTTTGGGGCGACAACCTCCCTATAAAGAGTCGACATTGGATGCGAGCGGAATCTTGGAACTTCACGCAGAGGCCACTGGAAGCAACATTCGAACCGCGCATCATGAAAGCCTCAGTCGCTCTTCTCGCTCTTGCGTTCGGCTTCGCCGTCGGTGCTCCTACCAGCACCATACGTACTGTGTCCAAATGGGACGCCAGATGGGTTAGTGCCATGCCCCACACCGTGATATCGATCAGTAAGCGCCGTGACGGGTCGCTAATCATGCCTCGTAGTCGGGCAGCCAGGCTGACCTTCAGCGTCGCCTGAGGAACAAAAGTTACTCGTGTGGACCCGGTTTCACGGTATTCTACCCTCGGTGAACATGAGCCATAGCTCGGACTTTACTGATGCGTTGTCTGAAACAGGGTCAATTGATTCGGTGCCGTATCAAAGAGCAGGGCTTTAATCCCGGGGTTAGTATCCCCATTTGCTCTATGTCGATGGGTGGGAACATGTTCGGTGCCCTGGCCCTCTAAACAAGACGAGCGGTTAGACTATGGCGGGCACATGGTCCAAGGCTGACATTCCTCGGATCACTGGGCTAACGTACGTATCAATGCAGCCTCGCAATCAGACCCTTACATGGGCTTGCGGGGGACGAGAAGGTGTACGTCACGTTTTCTCGCAGGTGCCTCAAATGTTTCACGTCCTCAGACAGCATCTGACGCGAGTCATAATGTTAGTGCGAAAGCTGTTGGATGGATGATGGACCGCGGGTGAGTAGCCGCTGCGTTTGCTAATGAGGTGCTTTCGACTATGCTGATGCTTCTTGCAGACCAGCTATTCGTGCCATGAAATGCCGGTCGTCACAAACTACAAAGACATGATGCCGGGCAGATGCTTTCAACAGTACGGGGTTGCCGCAGAGTGCAAGAAAGTATACGACGATTGTTGCTCGGAGAAGGAGATTGCTCCATGGGAGGTCAAGGAGTGTGTGCAGGCCAAGTTGCCGGGGCGCAAAAATCCGGACGCGAGCAGTGAAGCGTACCCAGAGGACGCTTGGCTGTCTTCGGAGGACCCAGATTCCCCAGCCAGCAGCGGAACGACCACAGAGCACGAATGGCTGTTTCCAGACGATTCAACATCCCCGGCCAGCAGCAAATCGAAATCGTCTGACACATGGGTGTTTCCGGACGACCCTAGGCTCCGAGCCAGCAGCGAATGGGACACAGAAAGATGGATGCTTCGGCGCGGCTCGCAGTCCCCAACCAACGATAAGGATGACTTGGAAGCCCCGTTTGTGTTCCCATCCGACTCGGACTACCCGGGCATGAGAAAAACAAAGGCAAATGACATCAAGATGATCCAACGCGACTCAGGGTCCTCACCCGTTGTTGAAGAGGATCCCGAGCGCCCTTTTGTATTTCCGGATGAAAGGGACTACCCGGATTTGAGAAAGACGAACGCAAAGGACAAACAGGTATTTTCGCGTAACCCGCAGGCATTGGACAGCAGCAAAGACGACTTGGAGCAGCCCTTTGTGTTTCCAAGCGAGTCTGACTACCCCGGGATGGGGGAGACAAGCAGGAAGGCCAAGAAGCCCCAGAGCTCTAAAATCGCTCGATCTGCGACTCCGCAAATGAGAGACATCTGGCAGAACTGTGTGGTCGGTATAAAGGAGGAGACCGAGGCCTTTGAGTGCATGGGAGTGATGGAGTTCGATCTCTGCGCCTTTACGACTTGGTCGACAGAGGATTGCCGCAAGGCCATACTCGACTGCTACCGGCTCAGCAAGGGGAGCAACGTACGGTACCACGTGGGTGAGAAGGAGTTCAAGGAGATTCGCTCTTGCGGGGCGAGGCGCCTCGCGGTTGAACCGGACATCGTGCAGCCGGTTGCATCCACAGAAGCGGCACGGCTGTTTGCACACTAAGTTAGCTGCCGCGAGACACTGCGCCTGGTCACGGCTGGTTTGCTGGAGCGGACGCGAGATATCTCTGATCTCTGAAGCAGGAGGATGCAGAATGGACTGGATATGGGTCATCTTCCAAAGAACAAGTCGCGTTGATAACTAATCCCACTCCGTATTTCCAAGATCGATTTGCCAAATTATCCGTGGCTGCTACCAGGTTGCTTTCCCTAGTACGTCCGAGAGCAGTCTCGGCCTCCATGAACGGATCTGCCCACGGCCGCATGGTCTGAGACTCTGCATCCTCCAACCCGCTGTCGCGAGGCGATATGTTTATTGCACGTGTGTAAGGCGGTCCTAGGTCTCTGGCCACGTCCCCATTCACGCTGTACAATCGAGACCCTAGGTGCTGCTCTTCAATGACCCATACGCCATCGTCCGTGAGGGGGTTTCACGAATATGCACGCTTTTCCTCTCAAATCTGCCAGGGTTGATTCCGAAAGACCGAATGCGTTTTCCGGTGTTGCCCGTTCATGGGACGTGACTTTCAAGGCCAGGGCCCAGTCGTGCGGAATGCCACTATGTTCCGCGTTTTACTTGCTCACCGGGTCATTGCCTTACGCCAAGCCTGTGCCATTCACATCGATGCTCGTCTTCGGCCGCTCGGGAACCTTGAAACACCTCCGGCGGTAATCGCCCGGCTGGGCTACCGTAAAGGGGCAAACTTCGCCAATTTTGCGGCGCCTTCATGTTACCAGGCTGCTGCCGGTTTCCGCATCGTCGTCCCAGCACATGCAGTCGCTCCAATGGGCTCACGTTGCGATGGCCACCATGTGAGAAGCCTTGGCTGGCAGTACATGCTCATGCATAGCAACGCTCTCGGTTGGGCGACCAAGTAGGCCATATGCCAGACTCAACAGTTGCGGCATTATCACAGCTGCAGACCCAATGCCAGTGACGAGGAGGCCGATACCAGGCTTTCTTCAGCAGCGGCGCAGCTCCACATGTTGAATGCTAGGGCCATGCGCCCGTAGCATTACCGTATAAATGAGCATCAGGCCATGCATCTCTTGGCCGCCAAGTGGCTGGCTGGGCGCATGAGCAAACCTCACTGCCCTCTGGGCTACGCGTCAAGGCAAGCAGTCGGTTGTAGCTCAGACCCGCCACGCCGCGTGACATATGGCAAAACTGTCATGCAGTGCGTGCAGTAGAAATGGCGCGGGCCGGTCGCCACGATGGTGGACCGCTGCCGGAATGGGGTCGGGCATGTCGGAGTCTCGTTCCGGTATACTTGCCGCATTTGAACGCCCTTGCCAGCTAGAAGCTGCCACTGTATGTAGCATGATACATACATGCCATTGCTCACAGGTCAACACACACAAAATTCTCAGGCTCGAAGAACAACGCAATAGGCTTTGCAAAGCCATGATATGGTTTGGCATGCATGAAACAGCTGTATGCTCTGCGGGCGTTGCTCGCAAGCAGCGTCATCCGCGCAATGACCAGGGACTGCACGCGGTCAAAGTCAATACCAAGGGGGGGATATCGAACCCGACGACTATAAAAGGACACCAATATTCAAGTCAAATAAACAGCCTGCAGAGTACCGATCACATTCGAGATCAAACAGCCATCAAGTTCCACCATCACGACTTGCAAACGAACTCACCAAATTGTCAGGATGAAGGCCGTCGTCGCTGTTTTCGCGTACCTCTGCGCGCTTGGCTTCGCCAACGCAGACTACGAGCTCCCCTTTCACAAGATCTCGCACCAAGACTTGCTGGAGAAGAAGGGCTAGGGGTTCGTCGAGTGTGGCGAGGCAAGCGATTTCTCCCACCACCTCGGTGGCTAAAACCGCGCGGAGAAACGGGCTGACCTGATACGACCCATTCTGTAGGCCAATGTTCCCAACGAGGGTTTTGTCAACTGCCACTTGTATTACGGCTTTGCAGTAAGCTGAACGCCCCCGCCCCCCTTTTGATGGTGTGGCCCGCGGGCGATCGGATGAAGCACAATCTAACACCATTCTGTGTAATTTAGGACGACTTTCAGATCACCAACGTGTGCGGCAACTCTCTGGAACTCGTACGTGACCTCTTCTCTTCACGTGTGCAGTTGGGACGGCCGCGCAGAGACCGTCACCAGACTTCAAGAAAGCGGACGTTGACAAGGTCGCCTCCCTGTAGTGCCAGCAATGCTTCGAGGCCGACGAGGACAAAGAATCAGAAGGAACAAAGTCGGTCAGTGCTCTCCCCTCCATGTTCCGTGTTTAGTACTGGCCAGTAATCGCTGCCATGGCTACGTGGTGCCTTTCCCGTCTGACGTAACAGCAGAGAGAGTACATTTGCATGCTCGACTGAGAGGGCGGTCGGCATGCCGCGTGGCCTGTTCCGGCATCCTTGGCCAGGGAGACGATGGAAAGGGGTGCGCGGTGACAGGATCGTGGGTCTGCGGCAGAGGACGAGCAGACGCCACGCAAGCTCGGGCACCAGGACGGCATCAACGCGCTGGAAAGGCACTAGTAGTCTTTGGCATCGCCCGCGAGGGGTTTTTCTCAGAGAATCAAGACCTCTTTTCCTCTCAGGCCTTGTATGCTTGCTGTGGATGCGGATGCTCGTCAAATGCCCTGACCGCACAAAGTACGTACGTGAAAGTGCCGGTATATTGGAGACCCAGAAAACAATCGCTAGCTCTAGTGAAATATCGAATATGAACATGGCCGGGTATAGAAAATCGGGACCACCATTCAGGATGCAGCTGCTGTCGGGGTTGTCGCTCGTTTTTAATCACAGCTCATCCGGCTGCAAGACGGGACTCTCGCCCTTTGCATCCTGCCCCGACGGCATTGTGTCCGGCTCGCGCTTCTTGCCCGCCACATCGTCGGCAATGAGCCGCGCCACGTTCATCCCCATCAGCGCGCTCGTCTCCATGGTGGAGATGAAGCTCTCGATGCCCGAGGTGTAGTACAGGCCAGGCCCGATGATGGGATCTTGGAACGTCACGCGTGGCAGCTCGATCGGGTACGAGTGGAACCAGTGCGGGCGATACCACGAGATGGGTTCGACGGCGGCGGCGGATGCTCCGTCATCTTGGGAGGCCCCGACAAAACTGTCGGGAACCTTGACGCCAAGAATGCGCGCCAGGAACTCGGGCGTCACGACCTCGGCCGAAAAGATCTTGTAGACAAACTCGCGCTTGTGCGTCTTGGGGTTGACCACGTGGCGCAAGGTGCTGATGGAGTAGAAGCCCGTCTTGCCGACGCCATCGGGACCCTGCTTTGCCTCTTCGTCCGGCCCGAGTGTCGTGTACACATTGCTGGGCGCCTTGCTCCCGGGCTGCAGCTTGAAGTACTCAGCCCGCAGCTTGAACGGGGACGCGAACAGCGTTACGTGAAGCTTCATGTAGGGGATCTCGTCGATGTGGTGCTTGAGAACGCCCTCGGCTGCACCAATGTTGCTGTACTGCCAGGGCGAGGCGATGATGACATTGTCAAACGCCGTGGCTAGCTCTTGCGCATCCGCGGTCTGCTCGCCGGCGTCTCTGGTCGAAATGATGTATTTGCGGGGTGCACCCGGCTCTGCATCGTCTTTGGCAAAGGCTATGGACGCGACCGTCGCGTTGCGGAGCAAGGCGGCGCCGCTGGCCCGCACCATTTTGTCAAAGATTCGCCAATTCCCCCCCGCCACGGACATGGCGCCCTCGGCAGCAAAGGAGACCATGGCCTCGAGGCCGTGGATGTGAGCAAGATTCGACGCATAATTGACACGCGTTGCTGCCTGCATGATGTCGGTGGTGAATCCGCCTTTGATCTGGGCTACAGTCAGCTTCACGTTCCATGTCTGCATCTCGTTCGAGGGCACGGACATTTTTCTCGGCCAAAAACTGCTCCCCCGTGATGGCTGTCACCTTGTGCAGGCCGAGCTCAAAGGCCCTCTGCGTCAGCGAGCGGAACGGAAAGTGCGGCTCCTCGTAGAGACGCAGAAACGTGCCGACGACGTCCTTGACGAGCTGGACCGCGCGATAGGGCGCCAGGCCGTAGCGCCACCACATGCGGGCAACGTCCCACCACCATGACGAGCCCTCTACCGCCTGCCAGACGATGTCGTTGCCGTTCCAGATGGCGGTGATGTCTCCGGGCTCATCGTCGCGCAGGCTGCCAAAGGGGAGGTCAAAGTGCTTCGTGGCATTGTAGAGGATATGGTTCACGGCAACGAAGATGGAAGCGCCCTGCTCGATGGGCAGAGCGGGGTCGTCGTAGATGTTGACGGTGACGGTGCGGCCGCCAATGTGCTCCGTCTTCTCCAGGATGGTGATGTTGATGGGCACACCCTCCTGAGCGGCATATCGCTGCAGGTGATAGGCGGCAGAGGATCCAGCAGCGCCAGCGCCTGCACGTAGGATTGGGAGGCGTCAGCTATGGGCGGGCTGCGTGCCATTGTCTCGACGGCGGCATTGTTCTCTTACCGATGATGGCGACGTTGTTCACACGGTCCCCGCGGCTCCCAACAGCCGACAGCTGTGTGGCGGCCGCTGCCGCACCCACCAGCGCGAGACCCAAGCTGGGCGAGCGCATCGCGAAGAAGCCGACGACAGATACGAGACGATTGAGGCGACGATTCAGCAGCGAAGGTGATGCCGCGTCTCCCGGGCAGTAGGGTGATGTTGTTCGGGATAAAGGGCGATGACGCGGTTGGCAGGCCGGGCAGCTTCGTAATAAGGTATGGATTGGCAGAGCAGCATCTGGGCCGGGTCAGACTCACTGACGTGCGAGGACGCCCTGGAGCTCGGGCGCCAGCAGGGGACCCGACCAACGACTGCCGGCGGCCCCACCCAGTAACACACACCACAGCCAGCACACCACCAGCTTCCATAAGCTCTGCTGCCGCTCCCTGTGTTCATCTGCATCACGTGACAAAGCCACCACGATCAGGGGTCCCGCGAGACACTGGGATTTGCAGAGGACGATGCAACTTGGATGGTCACACAGCGAGCCGCAGATGCAGATGGCGATGCAGCCCGCGATCGAGCTCGGCTGTCGTTCCTGAGCCCCAACTCCCCAGGCAGGCGGGCCAGGTTGGTGGAGCCGGCCAAAATAGCACCTAGCTAGGTGTACGAACTGGGGCGTCCCACCCGCCCGCAAGTCGTGTAAGTCGAGCCTCATAAGTAGGCGGTATGTCGGCTCTGACGCCGCCATCCTGCACCAAGCTCAACCGCCCAGTACGGAGAAAAATGTCGGTCAATGGCGAGGCAATTCCAACTCTCTTTCATTCATTTTTTTTTTCTTCTGGTGTCGTCTTTTTGCCCCTCACAGAGCCTGGGGTAGCAAATCTGCCACAGTCTCGCCGGACGTTTCGTTGAAGACGTGTGGCTGGCCAAGACTGGAGCCTCCGTCTCATCTATTCGTGGATTTTTCATCACAGTGACACGGGCCATCCGTTGCCATGTGCGTGGCTCTATATTTAAGAGATCGTTGGCTGCGGCATGGAGAGATATGCACGCTCTTGACAACGTGTCAGCTGAGCGCGTCCAACTCCACACTGTCACTCGACGCGGTGCAGTTCGCGCACAGCCACGCCATCTTGAAATAATCATAACCCGCCTCGGGCCAGTAGCGACAAAAGACCTTGTCTTGCTGAATTCACTAGAAATCATTTCAACTGCCATTTCGTGGGAGGAGTGCTACTCGTAGAGCTAACTTTTGCTAGTTGTAGAGCCCGCCCTAGGTCTCAACTGGTACCGCAGCAGCAACGGCAGCAACGGCAGCAACGATAGCAACGATAGCAACGACAACACCTATAGTAACAGCAGCAATGCCAGTAACGGTAGGAATAGTACAGTAGCAAATTACTTGCAATAGGCAGAGCGCCGCTATCGTTCCATGTCTGCATACCATAATTCCTGGCGCGGCATAGGGGTGCGGCGCGGCCCCAGGAAACGCAAGGCGGCTTTACAACTAGTCAAAGTCGGCCCTACGAATAGCACTACCCATTCATGCGCAGCTGCTTCCTTTTCGTCCCCGTGTCATCGGGCTTTGGCACACTTCGACCACGTTTCAGGAACGAACTCGCTCGACAGTTTCCTCCTCCAGCAAACTCCGACAACAATGTTAACGCCGAAACTACTTGAATATCGTCCGTCCAGCAAGGCCACGGGCTTCGTCGAGCTTTAGGACACACATCCTAAGCCGCGGGTTGCATGGGGACGGCAATATCCACCACGACAGGATGGTGGCGATTCCGTACGCCCTCCACACTGAGGGACTGAACTGGAGAGCGTGCTTCAGCCACGTGACCGAGGCAGACGGCGACCTGCGGCTCAAGGCGTTGGCCGGCCTTGTACTGTACAATAGCGGACCTTACCGTTGCGTTTGCAGCAAAGGAAGGCCGAGCAAGGGGGAAAGCGTGAGGGGTGAGCTGCCAGCGTCAAGTCTCAAGGGCCAACACCAACGACGCTGACCCCGCTGTACAGACCCTTGTGACTTGAGTGTGGGCGGAACGCATTGCCACATGAGTGGTGCCAGGTCCGTCCTACCGGTGGCAACCTGGTATCTTTGTCGGGGCCATGCTGGACTGCATGAGCATGGACGTCTCGGCCGGCACGAGATGCCACAAGCCCATGTCGCCTCTACGTAGTGGGTCTGCGTTGGCTGCTCCAGCACTCGGCAGAATGCATAGGGGGTTGCACTGTACAGCAAGGTAGGTACCGTGCTCCTCTGCTCTGCTGCTCAAGTACCAATGCATGCTTCACTGTACAATACTGTAATTCCTCCGTGGGGATGTTCCGTGGGCTGGCGCTTCAAGCAGCCGCCAAGCGGCGGACGGTTACGGCCACGATCCGGTCACTGGAACACATTTGATACTGCCACAACATAATGCGCAAGATGGAACATCCTGAGACCATCTTCTTATCAATTGCGCCTCGTTGACGCCAGATGTTGTATTCTTGTTGTGGCCTGCATGTCAGCACGTGCCCGGGCAGGTGACGGGGACCAGAGTCGTGGACAGGCCTACATAATACTGGTGCGCCGCTGTCGGCGGCTGTTCCCGTTGGCCCCTCTGCTCTCGCCCACACATCAATCACTCACTGCGAATCCCCATCTCAAGCGGCGCGACACGGCAACGCATCCAAGAACGAAACAAAAGTCCCTTGTCTGATTGAGCCCCGACGTCGAGTACACACTATGTCACAGCGCGCCGCCAACGCGGTGCACCCCCAAAAATGCCGAGATACCCGACCCACTGCGCGAGGCTTGCGATGCGCATCGTCCACCCAATGACGGCCCCGCAGTGATCTTCCAGATGCGCCCAATCTGGCTCAGGGGCCGTTCCCCAGATTCCAGATTCAAAAGGTTCCCGCTAGATCCGTCCTTTGGGCAGGTCTGCCGCCGGCTAGGGCCCGCTGAGATAAGAGTGGCCTACAAACGACGTCCCTGGCTTGGCTCGACGTGCCGCTCACCCGGCATCATCATGAAGATGGCCGTGGCAGGGCGGCAGTGGTCGTGTGACTGCGCGCATCGCCGTCGCCATTGCTACAGTGCAGTATGTGGAATCTGTTACGCTCAAGATGCATTGCGTGCGAGCATCGGCCCTGGCAGAGTGCTGACTGCTGCCAGTTGCGACTCCATGGACAGTCTCGTTGCAATTGCCGCCAACACCTGCGTCAAGGCGGCCACGGCGGTACCAAGTCGTAGAACTGTTGTACATGGAATCCACCGCTCAACCGCTCAGAGATCTGACCTCGTCTGATATCTCGACAGCTGCTCCGTGCAGACGAGAGTCGCGACGCACCGTGCGTCACGGGTCCCAACGTGCCCACCCTCTCCCTCTCCATGACCCCAGTCGTGTGCGAGGGTATCGCCACCCCGGTGGCCAGAGCTGTGCCCGGAGGAAGTGCAACATGGGCATCCACCACCTGGCCGATACGGGTCAAAGCGGGTTGGCACTGGGGCTCGCCGCCCGCACATGGAGGCGGGCCGGTATCGACAGCACATGTGGAACCATACGCTTCTGCCAACTGCGAGCGATGGAAGCAGATATCCGAACGCCACGATGCCCACCCCCTCACGAGCCAGTACGCTGGAGGGCGCTGCTATTGAGAACTTTTGATCCTACATGCCGCCTTTCCCGGCTCACAGCTTCCATCGATCCGTCCATCACCATGGTGTCTCTCCTACGCGAGCAAAGCAAGATATGGTTGGCGACACAGGTCGGACCAGGGGCATCAGCCGCTGTCTTGGCGAGCCCTTGGACAGATACGGCCACCACGCCGACCGGATAGGCCGAACCGACACTGTCGATCTTTCGTCTGATGAACCTCTGCGCGTTTGCTATTTGAAGCCTGTGGTTCGCCCATGACAACCCCCCGTGCGCGACAACCACGGCCCTTGAGCATTGTCCAACGTTCCTCCTTCACCCTCGGGAGACTGACTGGTCAGGATGCCGTTCGGATTCAGATCCCGCAAAGGGGGTGGCGACGCCCCCATCGCGCCCGTCGCCAGCTCCACGTCCTCGGACCCCAATGAGCTCAACGAGAAGAACATCATTCAGCCGGAGCATGAGCAGCTCAACGACGAGCAGGCCGCTCGCCGTCTGAGGCTGTTCCGCGAGGCGGCGGCCAACGATCCCAACATCGATGTCGACGACCTCGGCGAGGTTGACGAGGCCGTCATGGGCCACCAGGTCACCCGCGAGAACCAGCTCGTCGACGAACTTGTCGAGAACTCGCCCTATCCCGAGGTAAGAAGCGATGTGCCGGTCCTGAGCAACACTGCTGACCCATCGACGCCTAGGTGCGCGCAGCCGTTCGCAACTACGACGTGGACCTCCCTGCCAACACCGTCCGTGCCTGGTTCATCGGCATGCTCATGACAACCATCTTTTCGGGGATGAACATGCTCTTCTCCCTTCGTCAGCCTTCCATCGTCATCACGTCCTATGTCGCCCAGCTGGTGGCATACCCCGTCGGCGTCGGGATGGCCAAAGTGCTGCCGAACCGTGAACTCAACCTCTTGGGCCTCAAGTTTAATCTCAACCCGGGTCCGTTCAACTTCAAAGAACATGGCCTCATCGTGCTCATGGCCAATGCCGCGTACGGTTCCGGCGCTGGCTACTTCACTGATATCCTTACGGCGCAAAAGGCCTTTTATGGCTTCGATTTTGGCGTCGGGTACGCCATTCTTCTGGGCCTGACGAGCCAGTGCATAGGCTTCGGCATGGCCGGCCTCGTGCGCATTTGGCTCGTCGAACCGGCCTCTATGATTTGGCCCCAGGATCTCGTCAATGTGGCCTTTATGTACACGTTGCATGACCATACCAAGACAGACCCGGCCAAGACGAATGGATGGACCGTGAGTCGCTATCGCTGGTTCTTCTATGTCTTTATCGGCGCGTTCTGTTGGTACTGGATCCCCGGCTACCTCTTCCAAGCCCTGAGCGTCTTCGTCTTCCCTACTTTCATCGCCCCCGATAACGTCACAGTCAACAAGGTCTTTGGCGGCTGGACCGGCATGGGTCTGCTGCCCATCACCTTTGACTGGACCCAAATCGCTGGCTACACCCTCTCCCCGCTGATCCCTCCCTGGCATGCCATCGCCAACACACTGATTGGCGTCGTCGTCTTCTTTTGGATCGCCTGCGCGGGCCTGCACTGGACGGGCACCTGGTACGCAGACTGGCTGCCGTTCAGCGATCCGACGTCGTGGGACAACACGCAGAACCCCTACAACGTGTCTCGGATCCTGACCCCGGAGAACACCCTCGATGTCGCCAAATACGAAGAGTACTCGCCCATCTTCCTCTCCACAACCTTTGCCATGGCGTACGGCCTATCCTTTGCGGGTATAATCGCTCTGCTTTTCCACGCGGGGCTGTTTCACTCCAAAGAGATATGGATGCGCTGGCGCGACAAGGAGCACGCCATGGATGACATCCATGCCAAGATGATGCGCAAGTATAAGCAGGTTCCGCAGTGGTGGTTCCTCTGCGTGTTTATCCCCATGTTTGCACTTTGCTTCGTTACCGCCTATGTGTGGGACACGGGCCTGACGTGGTGGGCCATTATCTTGGCCATGGTCATTGCACTCGTGTGGCTCATTCCCATCGGCATCGTCCAGGCCATCACCAACATTCAGCTTGGCCTCAATGTCTTTACCGAGTTCATAATCGGTTACGCGTTGCCCGGACGGCCCACGGCCATGATGATGTTCAAGACGTACGGCTACATTACAATGACGCAGGGCCTGGCCTTTGTCGCGGACATGAAGCTGGGCCACTACCTGAAGCTGCCCCCGCGGACCATGTTTTGGGGCCAGATCGTGGCCACCGTGTGGTCCGTCTTTGTCCAGGTCGGCGTGTTTTACTGTAAGTCGCCGCACATGGATGTGCACTTGAAGCGTCAGTGCTGACAGAAATCTCCCAGGGGCCCTCGGTGCCATCAAGGGCGTGTGCACCGAAGACGCCGTCGCCAAGTTCACGTGCCCCAACGGCTCCGTCTTCTTCACGGCGTCGATCCTCTGGGGCCTGATCGGCCCGGCGCGCATCTTCTCCGGCACGGGCATCTACAAGAACCTGCAGTACTTTTGGATCATCGGCGCGGCGGTGCCCACGGCGTTTTGGCTCATCCGGCGGCGCTGGCCCAACTCGTTTGTGCGCTACCTCAACGCGCCCGTCATCTTCTCGGGCAGCGGCATGATCCCGCCCGCCACGGCCCTCAACTACCTCTCGTGGGGGCTCGTCGGCTTCATCTTCAACAAGTGGATCCGCACCCGCTGGAGGGGCTGGTGGATGCGCTTCAACTACATCACCTCGGCGGCCCTCGACAGCGGCCTCGCCATCAGCACAATCATCATCGTCCTGACGCTCAGCCTCACGGACACGGCTGCCCCGAGCTGGTGGGGGAACAATGTCGGCGCCAAGACGCTCGACACGCTCGACGCGGCGTTTAACAAGGTGCTCGCGCCGGGGGACACGTTTGGGCCCAAGCACTGGTAGATGCACGTCAAGACGGACACGGGGGTTAGGTACCTCACGCCAATGTCGCTCCCTTGTTGTATTGGGTTACTTGTCCCAGCACGTTGCCCCGTTGTCTCATTTACGAGGCGGTACAACTGTACTTCATATAGCGTAGTAGCTCATGCCTCCACACTCTCATAATGCAAGCCACAGCACTCGCTATCACACATGTAAAGTATGTGCTCTGCTTCACACCCGTAAGCACCTTATGCCTTCTCGAGTGTGCACGTCCATCCGCCTTGGCACTCAGCCATCACCTCGCCTCACGGCACGATACATGGCATCACGACCGTCACATCACGCACCGCACCATAGACGCCCACCACCACACCGTGCCAAGCATATTTCATAAGAGAGTCAAAAATCTTCATTGATATCTTTACGCTAAGTCTCAATAACCGCTAAGTCCAACGCGTGATCCTATCCAAGATGCTTTTTTCTCCCCCTCCTTCGGCGTGGTGGCGAGCAGTGGCTATATAACCTACTGAACCCCTGCCCCGCCCCCCATCCGCCGTACAAATTCGACGTCGATCAGAAAAAAGCATTTGGGTATCTCTCGGCCGGCCATTCCAGCCCAAAATAGAAATTCTCCGACGAATTCCCGCATTAAGAAAACGCCAGACAGGATGTATGAGATGAATGATTCGCGAGGTGAATATAGATCCAACATCCACGGGAACAATACCGGTTTCGTTGTAGGAACAGTTCGATCCCAACCAAGAAAAATGGAAAATGTGTGTCAAGGTGGTGGGCAGGGCGTGTGGTGGGCCAGTCTTAGCTGCTCTCGTCGCTGCTGCTGTATCCGCTCTCCAGGCCGCCGGCCGTGGCGGCCGAGCTGCCGCCGGTTCGGGCGAGCGCCTCGCTGGCGCTCTTGCTCCGGCCACGGTCCGACGGCGGGGCAGCCTCGGCGCTGCTCATGGACTGCTTCCTGGGTTCCTTTCGGACCATGTCGAGCGGCGGCGGCTGCATGTCGATGTCGTACATGCGGTGGGTCTCGGGCTCGTCGTCGGGGTCCTCGCCGTCCTCGTCTCCGCTGCTGAGGTCCACGCCGTCGGGATACCCGTCGGACTGGTGCGGGTTCGCCCGGCGGCTCATCAGCTCCTCCGAGGACTCGAGGTCCGAGTCGTCGGCCTCAGATTCGAGGTCCGAGTCCGAGTCGCTCGAGCCGTCTGTGCTGAAAGGAGGGAAGAAGATGGCGGGGGGCGGGAGCGGGACGGGAGGGAGACGCTTGATGCGGCCCGAGACATAGTCGATTTCCACCGTCGGTTCACCTGCTGGCTTTGCCATGGCCGTCATGGGGCCTGGCGACGACGTCGACATGGTGGCGAGGCGGCAGATGATCCCGTCCGTAGTTTCGTCCGTGTTCGTACGGACCAGAGGAGGGTGCATGGGCTTGACGTCCTTGGGTCGCTGCGTAGTGACTAGCACCATGAAGTGGTCTTCGGGCACAACCCCGCCTAGCCCGCATGGCTCCAGCGGGACCATCTCCATGTACTGCTGGTCACCCGACCAAGTCGGCTCAAGTTCAATGTCGGTCATGTCGTTACCCGAGTCACCGCTCAAGCCAGGTGGCTCCCCTTCGCTGTCAATATCCATCTTGGCGTCGGCATCCAGCTTTGCCTTCAGGCCATCGGACAAGGGCCTGCAGTTGAGCGATGAGCCGGAATATGACCTCTGTGGCACAGGGCGTGCAGATTTGGACGGCGTCTCCTCTCGAGCCTGGCCACTAGACATCATGTAGGTGGCGGGCGACATGTCGCCGGGATCGCCAGACAAGTCGGTGCAGAACGGCGCGCCACTGTAGTAGATGATGGCGCCGTCATGCCGGCGCTTTCTGCGACCCGTCGTGCCGGAGCCACTCAAGCCCCAACGCGAGTCTCCAACATTGCTGTCATCAACGGGTCCAAACGAAGACAATGTGTCGTCCGGCGACGTCCCGCCGTTCGGGGACTCTTGCTGGGCAAACATTGGCTTGTAGTGAAAGGTATCCGAGGACCCGGATTGCTGGAGCTCCACCTTGGAATGGTTCTTGCTCGAGTTCCCAGAGTGGTAGTCCTCGCCGGTCGAGTTGCCCGTCCTTTGACGCTTGCGCGACACGTGCTTCTTCGAGACGCTGGAGTCGTCGGTGTCGGGGCTGCGCTGCGAGCTATCCCCAGAGCTGTCGCTAGAGAATTTGGTACCTTCGCTGCCTCCGCGCCAGCGAATCTTGCGTCCGTCTGGCGAGAGCTGAAACTTGGTGCTGATGCTAGACACGGCGGAGCGCACGAAGCTCGGGGTGACGTTGATCATGTGGAGCTGCGCCAGGCTGCACAGCAGGTTCAGGTACACCCAACCCTCGGCATCCGCGTGGACGTCTGGGGTGAAGTGCGGTTCCTCGGCCAGGAGCTCGGGGGGGACCAGACCGAGATGTCTGATGTACTCCATGTTTTCGGACGGGACCTGAACGCGATCGGGGTCCAGATCCTTTGGATGGGTTGCCCGCTGCTCGGGTGGCTGCGGCACGTTTGTTGGCGAGATATTGTTGCCTGAGCTGCTGTTCCCATTCCCGCCAGACTCGGTCTGGTCACCGTTCGAGTTGGATGCGGAGCCGTTGTCGCGGGATCTGCTTTTCTTGCCCGCATGGCCGGGATGTGGCTGATCCGAGGGCAGGATTCGGGCCTCGCGCGATGGCTCAACCGTGGCCAAGCTCGGGGGCTGATGCGACTGTTGCGTGCTTTGAGCCTGATTCCCCGTCACGACTGGGGCGAGGCTGCCACTTGGCGCGGGATTGGCGACCTCCATCGTGTTTCGCTTGTGAGGCGCATGTCGGCCTCCCATCTTGCCCGTGAAGAGCTGTTCGAGCCGTCGGACGACCAACTTTCTCCTCTCCTTGACCGTCATGGCCATATGCCGCGGGTACAGGCCTTCGGGAATGTCCTTCAGATAGTTCTCGACCTTTTGCTCCGAGGTCTTGGCGCGCGAGTTGTTCGGCGGACGGCTAAGCGACGTGCCGGATGAGTTTGCACCGGTAGACATGGACGCGTACGCCGAGTCGGCCGGTCGGGCGTTGGAGCCGGACGAGGAGGATGCATGCTTGGACGCCGAGCCTGAGCCCGAATACGCATGATCGCGGTTACCTCGCTTCGACGACTTCTTTCGCTGCGACGATGACGCATCGGGTGACTCTTGTAGACTAGCCGTAAAGTCGCGGAGCGTGGCCTCGAGCTCTCGCCGCTTTCGCTTGGGGAGGCCGTGGATCTTGATCTCGAACAGCTTCTCCTTCCGCAGCATATCCGGACCCATCTGCTTGTATCGCTTGAGCTCGTCCTTGAGCTTCTGTATCTCGACAGTCAAGTCGTCGATGACGCTGCGGTACTCGTCGGCGCTGCTGCTCTGGGCGCCTGTAAGTCTCGGCGGGGCGGCAAGGAACTGCTGATGCTGGTATCCCTTTTCCTCGTTGGAAGAATCGGATTCCTTCTGGAAGAATGGAGGGTCGACTGCGGCAGAGGAGTCAGCTCGTACGGTTTCCCAAGTCGGAGACGTGTCTCGCTCCGGCGGCACTCACCATCCATGGTGTTGTTGTCGAATGTGGCCGTCGGGTTTTCGTTGGATTGGTCAAACCACTTCTTGGGGTCGCTCTGACCAGTCTCGTGGCTGTCGCCCGACGAGTTGCGTCTCGGCGAAGAGGTTGTCTGGCTCGTGACGGCCGGGCCGGAGCCGGGGCTCGCTCGGAGGGAGGCATCGCGGGCGAGCCGGTGGTGTCGCAGGGTCACCGAATTGGCAGGGGAGGTCCGGCGCGGGAGGGGGTGGCCGGTCGGTGACACTGGAGGTGGTTGCGTGCCGTGTGACTTGTTTGCGGTCGATTGCATCGTCGTGTCATAGGCGTGTTGGTCTATGGGATCATGTTTCGTCGCCGTCGTGGGTGAGTTGGAGGGACTTGGCGTGGTCGACGAAGCCAGGGCAGCGGGCCTGGGGTGGTGTCGAGTGTATATTCAGCCGCCAGAGAGTGACGTAGCGGGTTGGGCCCTGCTGGGGCAGCCGTTGCCAACCTTTTACAAGAATATTAGCCGGGCGTTCGGCGACCAGACGCCGCTGTAGCGGAGAATATGCGTGTAAGGGATTGGTGGCCGGACGGGCTTCCACGCGCCGTGATTGGCCGGCTGCCTCAATCTTCGATCGATGGCGGCCCTAATTGGCGTATGACGAGGGCGGCGGGTCCGCTGGGGGCTTTGGGGGGGCGCTGTCACTCACCAGGAACGCCTCGCAGCGCACGCCGTGCTGAGGGGCCGCTTCTTTGAGTTTCTGTCGCAGGGTCTCTGGCGATCGAGCTCTGGCCCTGGGATCTAGCCGGGGAAGGGGTCTCGGACGGTGCGACGCTGTCTTGATTCGACGGGTTCTGGGTTGATGGATGATCCTGATGCGGATGCTGCTGATGCTGATGGATGCCGTCGATGGGCCAGATGAATTCGAGATTGGCGATGCGATGCCGGGCAGGGTCGTTTGCTCGCGACAGGTCAGTCCGTCGTCGGTCGGTCGAGCTGTCCGTCGCCTGATGTTGTCTCGGTGGCTGCCGGTCGGTCGAGAGCCAGTCGACGAGCGCGCAGATGCCTGCAGCGATAGGTGACGCGTTTCCTGCCGCCCAGGGTGCTCACTTCTAGGTCTGTCTCTTATACACATCTAGATGTGTATAAGAGACAGGTCGAGAGCCAGTCGACGAGCGCGCAGATGCCTGCAGCGATAGGTGACGCGTTTCCTGCCGCCCAGGGTGCTCACTTCTAGGTAGCGTTTCAGCGGGCCGCGACAGCGTTGCAGTCCAACTCCCTCCAGACCTGTTGCCGTGCGAATGTGCTGCGAGCGTATGAAATGAGGGCGACGCGTCGACGGGTAAAAGGCGAAGATTGTGAACGCAGAGACGCCGACGGCGGGCTCTCCGAAGCGTTGACTCGTAGATTAAACTGCACCGACAATTGACAGTCAGAAGAGTGGCCCCCAAGCTTTAGACTCGCGATGGTGATCGATGGCCGATGAGATCGTCGGCCGACCGAAGGCGGTAGGGAGGACGACACCCTATGACCCTGAGCGCTTGCAGCCACGCCCAACACCACGCGAGGCTGGCGTCTGGAACGGCAATTGCAGCGCTCACGCGGCAGCCAGGCGACGAGAGACGGCGGCAGGGACGTGAGGGGTGTATGAGACGGGACGACGAGGCGTGCAAGCAGGAGGAGAGGCGACGCGGGCTGGCGGGCTGGGATTCTACTCACGATGAATAGCTGATGAAGCAGCTTGTCGGATGGCAGAACCGAATACTAGCGTAGCGCGTGCGAGGGCTCGTCCGCGTACGGGGATGGATGGAGAAAATAAAATCTTACGGAGGCGCGGTCTCGGCAACGCGGTACAATGTACGAAGTAGGGGATCTTGGGGATTTCTTTGATGAATGGGGAAATTGGGCTCGGGGAGGCAAATGGCGAGAAATCGGAAACAAGAGCAGGCCTTTTGCGGAGTCGCCGCGAGGAGGAGGAGGTGGAGGGGAGTCGTCAAGAAAGAAGAGGGAAAGCCTGGTCAGTCTGCGCCGCCGCCGCCGCCTGTCGGGAACTCGAGGTGGGTGGTGGGCGACCAAAACTGGGCACGCCGTCAATGACTTGACGGCGCCGGCGGCCCCAAAGCAGGCATCGCGAGAAACCTCCACTGCCCTGAGGTGGCCGGCCGGGCGTGCGTGCAATCCGGTGCGGTGCGGCTGCGGTGCGGTACGGGTTCGAATCGGGCGCACTGTCGGCCTGAGCCTTCCATGGTGCGCGTGGTCGTGGCGGCGGCGGCGGCGGCGCGGCGGCGATGGCGGCGGGTGGGTGGGCGCTGGGGCCCCCGATGGATCCCAAGGGCCGCCAGATCCAGCCCTCATTGCCCCGATTTCGACGGCCTATGGGGGCAGCGCGCGATCACAAGTCATCGGGGCCAGAGCAGATCCAGGGTCCAGCCAGCAGCAGCCCATCAGCAGCCATCAGCTAACAATTCCAGGCCGGCTTGCCACCACCCACCTCGCTTTCCTCGCACCCCCGTTGGGCCCAGCAGCCGTGGGGGTGTCGCTACAACAAGCTCCAGCCCGCCGTCGCCTCTTCCCCTGCCCCAGCAGCACCATTCTCCACATCTGCGAATGCCCTCACTTTTTTTTTTCGCCCACGGGTGGCAAAAAAATCCTCTCCAGCCCCCCATCCCCCCCCCACTGGCGCAGCTGGCCCTGTTCGTCCTGCCACCTGCGTCGACTTGGACGCAGCAAGGCCCGCCGGCGATGCCCACCGGGAGAAGAGGGGGGGGCGCGCGGGCGAGGCGAGAGCTGTGGCACACGATGCGGCGCGATAGGGCTTTCCAGAAAAAGGGGAGGGGGGCAATCAGACATCTGCATCGTGTTGGGCGAAATGCCACATTCCCGAGGCAACCAGCACGTCTGTCTCTTGCTCGCAGCGAAGAAACACGCTCGCAACCTGCAGCCAACTTGCCAAACCTACGTGCGTACTTTACCTGGACGACTACGTAGCTTCTGCGCGGCCGGCCCCTCCCCTCCCTCTACCTTATGCAAAGACTGACGAACGGCAGCAAACCACGGCCCGAGCTTGGGCTTCAAGCGCTGGCCCCAGCTTTCGGCCCACGCCCCACGCACTGTCGTCGTCGAGTCTCGTCGGCTCGTCCAGTACCCGGGCGCGACTGACGACGACGATGGGACGCAGAGCCCAGCCAAAGCCACTCGTGGGACCACGGTGGGTGGTCCCCTGAGTCTCCCGTGATCTCGCTTTTGGCTGGTCATCGAGCGCGGCGCTGCGGTACGCGAGTCTGCAGCAGGGTGGGAGCGTGGTTGTCGCCAAGGACACCCCTGGAGCCAGCCAGCCAGCTGGGAGGTTGCGCAGCATGGCAGCGGTGCAGTCTGTGTGCTGGGCGGCAAGCACTGCTCCCGTCCATGCGCGCCTGCATGTCCATGGCCTCGCGAAGCCGAGTCGATACGTGAAGAGGGCATCCAGCCGTGGTGGTGATGCCCACGATCCCAACCCACGCATCCACGCTTCGCAGGCAAGGGCGCCAGCGGCACCACCGCGTACTCGTCAACGTGCATCACCTGCTTCTCTTCACATAAATTGCTTGCTTGTTGCAATGAGACGACAGCCGACCATCCGACCCTCCTGACGGCCATCAGGTGAGAGCGCCCCCAG